CTGAGGAAACACTACCGCTGGCCACGGAGGGAAAGACCCCACTTTGCACAAAACCAGATCTCCAGTCCTTAGATTCCCCATCGCTTCTATAATCTTTGTAAAGGAATTGCCAGCCTAACCTGTATTAACTCTATCTCAAACCTCTTTAAATCAAAATTTATCCAAATCTTATTTGAAGAAGTTTCCCACAACCACTATTTCTTATAATCTTAAAACTACCGGTGGAACCCTCACCTCTAGCTATCTATCTATCTATCTATCTATCTCTCACTGACTCTCAAACAACTGAGATTGTAAACAAGTACCGAATGTTAAAGCCAAATATAATCAACTTCTATTTAAATATCCTTTGCCAATCGTTGTAACTTGCTTGTTGTATCTATAAAAGTTGGGATGGTTTGATCTTAAAGAAGATCAAAATAGTGGAGGTGCGGGTAACTGATACGAGATCTCGATTGGAATGAAGATGCTCATCTTCATTCTATAAGCAATGGCATTAGACGTTGGTATGACAGTCCAATGTGTCAGGGAATCGTATATTTGAATCCATTGTTATATATAATTCATTGAGTTTCTCGTTGGAAGGGTCCTTTTATCATTAGATCTCTCTGATTGAGAAATGTACTATCTAGGAAGGGATATCTTCATGCGAACTTGGGTATCCCAAACAGCAAGGGATTGATAGAAACTACATTCTGATAGGCTTCTCCCACATATTACATGATCGTTGTGGTTCTAGTCTATATTTCTGAACTTACAACATTGGCGGACGTCAGAGCATAAGAATGTGACACGGGTCATCTATACCCTTTTTTGGTGTTTCCTTCACAAGGCCCACTGTTCAATTTAGGACTAAATCAACATCGGTTATTTTACCCATTTCACCATCATATCTCCCTTTCTCTTGCTTCCTCCTTCCTATATACCAGTACTTCCTTCCAACTTGATTCATTCATTTATTCATCCATCGATAACATTAATTAATGGACCGTTCAAATGTAGAGGTCTCTCGGAAGATATAAACTAGGCCAACTACAAACAATGGAACCGTCATACCTCAGTAGTCACACTATTTCCTTATCTACAGTCCTAGTCTTCTATCGTTTTAACCATCCCAGGATCGTTTCTTTGACATTGTTTTATTCTTAAGGCCAGACACTTTGATCTGATATAAAACTGGAATGAAACAATTTTAATACAAACTGATTTGAACAATAGTTGAAGGTATATAAGGGATTAGATACCAATAGATGTGGTATTGGAAGGTCGAGAGTTGGTGAATTAGTTGCTGATAATGGAGATCTGCTGGTATGTCCATTGATTAGATTGGTTGCAGCGTTACAATATTTTTTTATTTGGTATTGTCTATCACTATACATTTTTTGGCGTTGTTAACACATACAAAGTTGAATATATTTGATAATTGAAAGGTTGTATTGAATTGGTTTATGAGTAGTGACTGTACAATGCTGGAGGCACCTGTGACACCATGTCGTAGTGGTTTGTTGCATGGCAGTAGGATTCCTTCTCCAAGGTTGGATTCAAGTTCTCCTTTACAGTACAAGAGACGTAATAGTAGTGGTATGATGATTGCACAGTCACTAAGAATGCATGATGAGTTGAATGAACGACATCAGGATGGGAAGGAAAACATCAGATTGACCTCTTTTTATAAGGAAAAGATCATTGAATTGAATAAATTTCAAGAGGAATTGTTTAGAAAAAAATTTCAATTGGATCTATTAAAGGATGAATTACTAAAATACCAAAATAATAAGGACACGATTGATTTTAATTTTGATACATTAAATAATGAGAAAGTTTTGAAAGAGCAAAAATTGAAGCTTCGAAATGTTGAAGAGACAAAAGTGGAATTTGAATTTAAAGAGAAAAGAGATTTTTTAAGACAAGGTCATGAAATTCATTTAAAGCAAATGCAGAGCGATAATATTTTTGAAATTAACAAGTTGAAAAATAGAAGTCAAAGCAAGTTACAAAGACTTAGAGTTTTACAAAATAAATCGTTTCATAATGAAAGAAATCAACTTCTGAATTCCGTCGAAGAAATTAGAAATAAGATCAAAGAGAACCAGTTTGAATGCAGTAATATTAAACAAAGTTGTCAAGATGAATATGATCAATTGAAGTTTGAGTGGTTAGATACATATCAAAATAAGTGGCGGGAGAATGTTCAGTACACTAAAAGCTTAAATACAGAATTGCATACTTTAGATTCTAAACATAAGAAGCTAATACAGGATCGAAATATTTTAGTCAACAAGTTGAACCAAAGTTCAAAGATACATCGTGCCAAGAAAGAAGCTGAAATCGAAGTTAAACAAGAAATCAAAACGAAACAAGATGAGATAGAAGGTATGAAACTAGAGATAAATTCGATGATAAAAGAGCGTGAGACGAGTATATGTAAAATTGAGGAACTTGATGGGCGATTACAAATTATACATGACAGTATTGTGAAAGACGAAACACTGCGACGCAAGGTACATAATCAAATTCAAGAACTTAGAGGAAACATTCGTGTATTCTGTCGTGTACGCCCAACTGATGATGATACCAATATTATTAAAGTTCACGGATTTGACAGTGACACAGGAACTCAGTCATTGACATTGGATATAAAGAGACCCATGACAAATGGGTCTGTTAATTTTCAATTCGATAAAATATTTAATTACGATGAAAGCAACCGTCAAGTATTTGGTGAAGTGAAAGAGCTTGTACAGAGTGCGTTAGATGGGCATAACGTTTGTATTTTCACTTATGGCCAGACTGGATCTGGTAAGACGTATACGATGCTCAACGAAGAAGATGGTATAATCCCAAGCACTTTGGATCATATAATTGATTGGACCAGTAGCATGAAAAAACTTGGATGGCAATATGGATTAAAGATTAAATTTGTTGAAATCTACAACGATAGGATATTTGATCTTTTAAATGACGGTAAGGGCAAGCACAAAGAGTGTGAAGTGCGACACGATGATATTGGACGACGCACAGAGTTGACAAATGTGATAACACGTGAGTTTCAACTAGAGGAAGACCTTATTGAGTCTAATCGGAGAGAGTTACAAGAACTGGTGCAAAGGTTGAATAAGGTGAGAAGGACGGCCAAAACTGCGATGAACAATCGATCATCCCGATCACATAGTGTGTTTATAGTTGAAGTTGAAGGTTTCAATAAAGACAGTGAAGAGAGATGCAAAGGAGTGCTTAACCTTGTTGATCTTGCAGGGTCTGAACGAATGAATCGGAGTGGGTTGGTTGATAAAGAGAGGATAGAAGAGACGAAACAGATCAACAAATCGTTGAGTAGTGTTGGGGATGTGATCCATGCGTTGAGGCAAGGAAGTGGTAGTTTGCATATTCCATTCCGTAATACTAAGTTGACGTACTTATTAAAGCATTCATTGCAAGGAAGTTCCAAGACGCTGATGTTAGTTACAGTCTCTCCATCCAATAGCTCTCGGAATGAGACGATGAATTCTCTAAGGTTTGCTACTAAAGTGAATGGTAGATAAAGGTATATATATATATATATATATAGTAACACAAAAGGGTACTTTTCACGTGACATGTTTGATTTATGATTGCGGTCTTTCCAGCAGAAGACCGACGGAAAACAAGAACAAGAACAAGAACAAGAATTGACTAATTGAGAAGTGTAATTGCAATGAGAACAGCAGCACATGACATACAGCGCCGTGGCATACAAACAGACCCGAGTCTCTTTCTTTTTTTGCCACGGCACTAACAAAATTGCGGCCCCTACACTCACACGGCACAGAGAAACCGTTCTTTAAACTCCACCCTTCCACCCCCGGCACAGGCCCACAGCGAACCCTTTGACTCATCTGCCCCGAGGATACAGATACGCACGCACGCACGCACGCACACGGAGAAACTAGTCCTTTCACAGCCCAGCGCCTGGGGGCCCCCTTTTCCGATTGGGATAAAAAACAAAATTCCCAGTGCCGTCTTGTTTTGGTTTTTCGATTCCCAAACAGCGGTCGTTAGATGTGACAGCACTTATCCAACCAGACCAATTCCCTATATACCCAAATGTCTCTTGTGTTGTCCTGTACTGTAACCCACCCCGATAGCCATTTTTATAATCTATCCATATCTAATCTAACAATTGATTATTGATTATTGTTTCTCTGTTTTTGTTTTTGTGTTTTGTGTTTTGTGTTTCTTTGTGTCTTGTGTCTCTTACCTTTACACTTTTGCATTCTTTTCTTTTTATTTCTATTTCCATTACATTACAGTTATTTATTTTTTCACTCTGGGCCTCCCTTGCTCCCTCCCTGGTCTGGCCCCCCGTCCACCGACACTGCGGTTTGGCTACTTCAACCTCGGGAAACCAGCCTAAGGAGTCAAGTCCATAAATTAACCGATGCCCTCTTAACTATGCATATTCAACTACTTTTCTCAACTGGGATATACAACAACTGCTACTCGCTATCTCTCTCTTTCTCTGCCTCTCTCTCTCTATCGGTGGCCACTTTGGACCTCAACCGACCTCACAAGATAGATTGCAACCCTACCACTCTATCTCTATCTGAATCGGCAACTGCAACTGCATCTGCATCTGCATCTGCATCGGCAACCATACCTATAGCCATAGCCATACTAATATACATATACATATGTATATGTATATGTATATTAGTATATATATATATATATAGGTTTTTGCTATGTTTCCCAAGCTTGCTCTTCTTATTCCCCATTCTTCATCTGCCTTCCACCCCCCCCCTCCTCCCATTGCAGGACTGGCGGTCAAATAATTCATTCACATCGATTACTTACCTATACTCGTCTTCTCTCCTCCATTGCCGGTTCTGGTTCGCTTTAGTTTGGTTTGGTTTAATTCACTTTAAACTCTTGTTCTTATCCTTGCTGGCAACAAGCATTCATATACTTCGCATCATTATATCCTTCCAATTCCATCCCAATTTGAATTCGAAATTAAAAAGTCAAGGCCACAACGCACACACACAGTTAGGATATCCATCATAACCAGTGAGTTATAGATATTTCATTGACTTCATTCTATCAATACAAAGAAGAAGAAAATAACTATCCACCAAATTAGTTGCATCCATAGAGTTACTGGAAACTCTACAGTGTGTCTCAATCCCCTTCCTCTCTTTGCATATTCACATTTGCAGCACACTCTACCTATCTCAATTACATCTACACTTTTTCATTTATGCGAGGTGATGGCTATCTATGGACGGAGTCCTACGATGGGGCTACAATAGCATTCATCATCTTGGGGGCATCCCTAGTGTTCATCATGGTACCGGGTTTAGGCTTCCTGTATTCGGGACTTGCTAGACGTAAATCGGCTCTGTCCCTGATATGGGTAGTCTTGTCTGCCACTTTGGTCGCAATGTTACAATGGTACTTCTGGGGTTACTCGCTGGCCTTTTCAGCAAGTGCTAAAAACAATAAATTCATAGGAAACTTAGACTCCTTTGGTTTCAGAAACGTATACGGTGGTGATCAAGCGTATCCCGAAATTGCATTCGCTTGTTTCCAAATGATGTTCATGTGTGTCACTCTGAGCATCATAGCAGGTGCTACTGCTGAAAGAGGTAGATTGCTACCTCATATGGTCTTCCTGTTCATATTTGCTACCGTGGTTTATTGTCCAATTGCATACTGGATCTGGGCTCCTGGTGGTTGGTGTTACCAATGGGGGGTCCTAGATTGGGCTGGCGGCGGTCCAGTAGAAATTCTATCTGCCGTAGCAGGTTTTGTTTATTCCTATTTCTTAGGAAAACGTAGAGAAAATTTATTGATTAATTTCAGACCTCACAACGTTTCAATGGTGACTTTAGGAACTTCCCTGTTGTGGTTCGGCTGGTTGCTATTCAACTCGGCCACTTCGTTGACCCCAAATTTGAGATCCGTCTACGCATTCATGAATACCAATATCAGCGCTGTCACCGGCGGAATGACGTGGTGTCTTATAGATTACAGACTAGAAAAAAAATGGTCAACGGTAGGTCTGTGTTCAGGTATCATTTGTGGGTTGGTCGCAGCAACTCCTTCTTCCGGTTGCATCACTCTTTATGCCTCTCTGATTCAAGGTATTATCTCAGGCATAGTTTGTAATTTTGCTACTAAAATAAAATACTATTTGAAAGTTGACGACGCGCTGGATCTATTGGCTGAGCACGGTATTGCCGGCATTGTTGGCCTAATGTTCAACGCCCTCTTCGCCGCTGACTGGGTCATCGGCATGGATGGGACCACTAGACATAGAGGTGGTTGGTTGACTCATAACTATAGACAGATCTATAAACAGATCGCGTATATTGCAGCTGTTGCAGGTTATACAGCCGTAGTCACAGCAATCATTTGTATCGTTATAGACAAAATACCTGGTTTACAATTAAGAGTAGATGAAGTTGGCGAGCGCAATGGTATGGATGAAGACCAAATCGGTGAGTTTGCATATGATTATGTCGAAGTCAGAAGAGATTATTATCAATGGGGTGTTGATACTGACAATAATTACAATAATTCAACTACTTCAAGTACAGAAAATCATGAATTAACTGAAAATGACGATCTGCCGCCTTTAACAGCTCCTGAAAACCCAACTTCATCATCAGATGAATCATCTGAAGAGAACAAAAACGAAAAAACTTTAAATCAAGAATAGAATTAATTTTTTCAACTTACTTTTATCTGGCATTCCCCTTTCATATAGATGGTACTTTAGTTTCCATCGACATTTGAACGTACGTTCCTTTAGCATTATATAATTATACTCTAAATTGATAGATACTTTAATATATTCATATGGTAATAATACTATTATAGCACAATTGTGCATTCAGTAAATTGTACATTTAGCAAATTAAATGCTTCATTCTTCTATGAAGCTTTCCCTTCAATTCTGCTAGGACAAAAATTATATATAGACTACTTTAAATATTTCGGGAAAAAGCAAAAAAAGTAACCGACCCCGGAGAGGATTGAACTCTCGATCTTGCGATTAACAGTCGCACGCCTTAACCAGCTTGGCCACGGAGTCTCAGAAGTTAGTGTTTAGGAATTTTTGGTTATATTTTTCAACAGAATAATTTGTCTTGATTTTTGAATTCGAGCAGTATAAACGTACTCAAAAGAAGTAGAAAATTGTTCAGGTGTTAACTTGTCAGAATTATGAGGTAACACGTGATCTAAACGTATTGTATTGTTTCAACATAGTTTAATACGAATGGATTGTAAGATCTATGACACCAGATAATAAGTGTTATTATCGTTCATACTTATAAAGAATAATAGTAATTACTATTTGAAACAATTGTATAGTATTGTATATTATTTACTTACTTTGTACATTAGAAGAAGGGAATATAGAACTCTTTAATTAATAAATATACTTATTAACAGTACTAATCTACCACCAAATAGACGAATAGAATAATTACCATAACAGCATTTATTCGACGTACAATTATTAGATATCTACAACTAAAGAATTCACAACAAAGAATACAGTATTGTATTATTTCAAGGTTACATTGTACGAACCTTGATAATGTCGGGATGTAATTCGTTACAATAAATGGTGTCATATTATCAATATTGCTATTTAAAGAGATCATTGTACATTATTGTATATTATTGTATATTATTTAGTATCTTACTTTGTACATAAAAGATATATAGAAATTTATTATTATTAACAAGTATATTTACTTTAACTTACAGATCTCCACCCTTAAGATCCTATAGAATAAACGCCTACCAGCCTTCATTCTAACGTATACCAAATTCAATATACAACTAAATAATAATAAAGGCCAAATAATACAGTATTACGACATTATTCATATAGGATAAAGAAATGTTACTTTACACGAAAGTATTACTGACGCTGAAAACTTTTCCAACAATGTATATAAGAAATGATGAGATCTTAATTGATACTTATCATATGTACTATATTCCCATGTGTATATTTTATACTTTAATACACTGGATCAATATCAACTTAAAAAAATGTCCTTGCAAATAACTAAACAATCTAATACTATTAACGATTCTGTAAAGAATCCGCAACCCTCTGATTCTCTACACTAATCATAACTACTTATTATGATTGCTGATCATCATTATTAATCATAAGTGTGTATTGTTATTTCTAATTATATCCTGATATTAATAATCATATTAATAATCCATTGAATTTGTAATATTGGATTATATATTGTCATCGCGGCAATGTCAAACATTGCGTCATGACAATATCCTGTGTACCTACCATTATATTACCTACATTTTAGGTCACAACAAAAATGTCCAAATATAATCAATGAATTCATCAAAAGATGAATCTGTTATAAATAATTACTTAAAATTAAGTGGAAATATGTAGTTTCTGAATTTTAGCCTAATATATTTAGTGTAAGTTATCGTAGCGATTTGCAGATTGCCAATATTAAAAAGATGTGACCTTTACACTGATTATTAATGAACCAGATGGCATAGAACGTTTCGGGAGTATTTGAGATCTGAATATAAATTAAATGTATATGTGACTTGTTTCGATTTATTCAATGCGTAATGTATTGTTTGGTCCGGAATATTAAATATTAATGTTGTAACCTAAAATGTATGGTTTACACTAATGGGTTTCAAGGTTATTAATATCACGTGATAAATGATATTTATTGCCCTAATAACATTAATCCAATTATTATAGTCATAAGCTAAGAGATAAAGGTTACATACCTATATCAGTCTTGAACAAATTAACTATTATAATAACTATACAGTAGTATTAAATATATAAAGATCTCTATCGTCTTCTGTCTAATAACAAAAGTGTATATCTTTACTTCAGGAACTATGTCCTTTATATACGTTGTATTCGCATTCTATTAGTGACGTTCTTATCATGAAACATGACAAAGTCCTCTGTCCTTATTTTATCATTTTTTACTTAAGCGTAATCAATACAGTAATATAAATTTAATATTTTGTCTTAAAAAGACATTTAATTATTTATGCCCATTCTCGATAGAAGGGCAAAAATTAAAATAATATCTTAAATACTCAATATATGACGGAAGATTTTAAGAAAATTCTTCAATTATATGGCACACTCGTAGTCCTCGTTTAAAAAAAATCAATCAAATTTAGGAGGCTAATTTGATAATGCTAATATGCATAAATATACAAATTTAAAATCTATTTCTATATATAGTCTATATAATGATTATTAAAATGACGTTTGATCAATAACTGCAGAGTAAATACCATTTCTAGCACCTGGTATTTCACCAACCCATCTACCTAGCTTGTGTTCTTTTGAGACACTCGCAAGAACTCTGAATTTTTCTCTGCCATGTTTACCACTTTCAACAACTTGGATCTTTGTAACAACACCTTTACAATTATTCAAATCACCCAAATGTTCGAATTCCCTTAAGTTTTCACTTAATTTCCACACCTTCAAGCTCCCATTCCAAGAACCGGAAATAAAAATATTACTGTATGGAATGGCATAAACTGATGTAATCCAATATGGTTTTGTAAGTTTATCTCCTTGTAGTTGACATTCCCTAATACTTGAATTTTCTTCACCTGACACTCTTAATGAATCTGGTTTAGGCAAAATACCGTGTGCTGCTCTTTGAATGGATAATGGCTTTTTCTTAGCTAATGACCATAAACATAAGTTACCGTTATCAGAACCGGTAACAAAATGCGAGTCGTCAATCATTGTAACAACATCAATACTACCTTCACCGTAAAAGGTTGGGGCTTCTGATTTGTCTGGGTATATGGTTTCACCGTTTGAACCTTCTTTTGCATTTTGTCTCATCCATTTCTTTAATAATTTTCCTGTATCTTCACCACCGTTGAATGTAAGCCTAGTCTCATCAGGAATCTTCCATAACATAGCTGTTCTATCTCTTGAACCTACTGTTACACATCTTTCCAAACCCAATGCAGAAATATCAGCAACTAGATCATGATGACCGTATAAGATTTCCAATTGTGAGAATTGGTTGATGGAAAATGTTCTAATTTTATAATCAGCACAAGCTGCATACAGTTGATCGGTATTCTTTCTAAATGCAAGTGACATGACAGCACCATTTCTATCCTTTGTTGGTATTACTTTAATTGGCGCCAAAGCTTCTGTACTCCATATGATTAATTTTTTATCTCTACCACCAGTTACTATGTATCTACCATCTGGAGATGCTGCAACGGTTAATATTTCATCATAGTGACCTTCGGTGGTATTCTCATATTCGTATGAACTTTTTGGCATGTATTTTTTACCACCTTTGGTATATTTCAGTTTTTTTGGTCTTTCATTAAAGTCAGTAACATCATATTTAGTTAGCTGAAGGTCCTTGCTAACTGTGTATGCAAATATTTTATTTTTATTCTTGGAATTTTCTTTTGTATCGTATTCAAATTTGTTAATTACTGGCTGGTAACAACTGATAGAGGTTAGATTCTTTTCATTAATTCTTGTAAAACTAGTCTTTGCTTCTTTAATTAACAACTTGTCGGCTATGAATCTGAATACACGACCTTGTTGTTCAGCAACATCTTGTTTCAATCTTGATGCAATGATATCTCTATCCAAATCCCGAGCATCAAAGTTGTTATAATTATCAATTTCACCACCTTTTTTAGCCTCTTCATCTTCATCTAAAGCGTCTGTCATTATTTCATTAGCTTCAGTTTTCAAATTTTCCAAATATTGCTTAGCCAATCTTCTTCTCTTATCAGCAGGATTTTCAGTTTCAAACTCTTCATCAGACTCAAGTTCCTCACCATGTGGAAGGTCTTCATCTTCATCTTCACCACCACTTTCATCTTCAGATGATGGATCTGTAATTTCTTCATCGTTATCTCTGCTAGCTGGAGCTCTATCTTCTCCTCTAGCTCTCTTTTTTTTATTCACAGGTGCGGTAGATGGCATTCTTATCCTACTGATGTTCCTATCAATGTCTTTGGGCTAAAACTAGTACAACTTTTTAAATATGTTTTGACTTTCTATGTAATTTGGTTACTTTAATCTCATCTCATCGCATCTCATTCTAAAATATTTTGAAATTTTTCATGGTCATCGTATACGAACAAAATATCCACATATTGAATAAGTGACTGGAAGCCAGATCACAGCTATAATGAAGCTCAAATGTATCGTATTATCAAGTATAGAATTATAAATATTCGATTAACCATTGACTATATATGCTTTACAAATTATTGAGATTTTTGTTTTTATTTTACTGTTGTTGCTCAAATCGAGCTTCTCTCAAAGTGTTGATTTTCTTTACAAGTGTCATCAATTCTGCTCTTTCTGAAATTTTCATGGCTGCATTTAGTGCTCTATCTTGTTCTAATTCCTGAGCAATTGAAAGTGCTTTATCTGAACTTTGTTCTGCACAGGCATCGGCGAATAATCTAAGTAATGATTTGTCGTGTTCTCCGGTTAGACCCTTTAATATCTCTCTTTCATTTCCGTATAGTTCACCATCATTATCCAAAGTGTCATTCAGAAGTGTTGATAAAACTTTAGCACGTAAATATTCTTCTTCTGCAGCCATGTTGACTGGAATTTCCAATTCTTCATTTCCTTCACCTTCACCATCTTCTTCTTCATCGTCTAAAATACCTTCTTCAGTTCTTAATTTCTTCTTGTTTTTGGTTTCTTGCAAGATTTGACTCTTTACCAACGTAGGAATTCTAACTTCAAGCTCAGATGGCAATGGTAATGGAAAGTCTGGCCATGGGTTTTTACCCTTTACAAGAATACAGTTTAATGTATCGTATGTTAATCCTAGTGGCCACACATGAACGTCGTTAGAGTCCTTGCCTCCTGACATTTTCCAGACTTCCATATTACTGTCGAGGATAGGTATCCATCTACTCTTCATTGCTGACCTCCACTTGGAGAGAATTAATAACACATTATCGTTACCAAATATACATGGGTCACCATAAATTGAGAAGAAGATACTCTTAATACCCATAGGATTGAAATGAGTGAAGTCAGAATCAAATGCGCGATCAACTTCAGGGTTTCCTTGTGGTAACATGATTGGAAGTGGGCATTCTCTTTGGAAGTATCTTAAGTTAGAAGGAGATTGTTCAAATAATGAATATGAGACACCATGGAATACCGAATAATGTACTGTAAATACTTTGTATTCATAGGCTGCCATACATACAATTGGAGACATTTTTTCCACAGAGATAGCAACACCAAATTGATTAAAAGTTCTTAAATACCCATATGAAGTCCCTATATTAATTCTTTTTGGAGTTGCAGTAACACAAGTGATTCGTTCACCTCTCTGCAATGGGATTGATTTAGTCCAATTTGCGTTGAGCGAGCTGTGTGGTCTATAATGTATTTGTCCTGTTTTGGATTGACCAAACAAAGTTCCTCTGTCATTTAAAGAGCAAATGTCGTATCCAAATAAATCTTCAAAATGATATTCACTGAATTTCCCTAAATCGAAGAAAGAAACAGTAACACTATTTTGGTCATTATTACGTACACTCACAACATAACCTATGCTATTCATCGTTAAGTAGCGTCTATCACTATTACCATATGGTGTTGCACCTGGGGAAATTGGACCATAATGGAAATTTGGTGTCCTTACAATCCCAGAGTGACTTCTATTGTTTGTTTGTTTATAATTTGTCGAGATATTATCTGGTCTTTTTGGAGCAACGTATCCTGCACCGTCGTCGTCATCTATGAAATCTTCTTCATCATCAAAATGATATTTTCTCTTGGAGCTTTCTTTCTCTTGGCCATCATCATTATTTGGATCACCTTGTTCTTCTTCATCAGAACCTTCACTTATATCGGAATCAACAAATAGGTTTGATCTTCCTGTTCCTTCTTTGCTAGCTTCTTTCTCTAGATTAGGAGTTGATTCTACAAGATCTTGAATGCTAATAACATCACCTGACCAAGTAGATAAAATAAGATCTAATTTATTGGACTCTTTTTGTACTTTCCATGTAATGTTAGTCAATTTATTTTTGAAAGTGTCAGTATAGATCACTTTTGCATTTGCCCAATCCCAAACTACCAATACGTTGTTTAAGTCAATACTAGCTATATAACTACCGTTCAAAGTATCGAATTGTAAATCAGTAAAATGAGATGGATATTTTGTAGAAGTAGTCAAGGTCCTCTCTAATTTATAGTCTCTAATCGAATAAACCTGAACGTTATTATCTTTGGAAGGCAATGCGAAATGCAAACCTGTGGGATGCCAAGCTGCCCTAGTACAGATTCTATTTTCGTCACAGAATTCTGGGTCCTTCACTTTCTTTTCTTCCTCATCGTCATCACTATCATCAATAGAATCATCTAATATAGCGTCTAATGCATTGTTACCCGTAGAATCCCTATAAGAATTGGCTGGAATAACAGATGTAATTTCATGAACCTTGTTTGGCTTTGTCGAGTTCAGTGAAAAAAACTGAACTACACCGTTTGTGTAAGAAACCGAAAGGATATTTGTTTGAGAGGTACACGATAATTGAGAGACTTGTTCCACCACTTTCACAGTATGTTTCTTTGGAGTCTCACCATCCAATTCAATCAGGGCCAACTCTAAATCATCACCACCAATGACAACGATCTTCCCAGAATGAGCCAAAGTACTGTCACGGATCGGAAGTGCAAACCTAGCCAGTAACTGATCCTTACCATTCTTAAAATTATACCTATACACATCACCCTCGACTGTGGTCAAGATGAAACTTGAATTAGTGTCGCAATGAACAGAGGTCAAATTCTTCGATGTCTCCAAAACTTCAGGTTCTTCCTCTGGCTTTTCAGTCTGCAAAACTTTAGCCAACCCACTCTTATTAGCCACACATAAAGTACTCCCATCACTAGCCAACGAAATTAAGGTCTTCCCACCACAATCAAATATAGATTTATCAATAACTTTTGGCGTCATATTTCAATTATTCTACAAACTGTATTCAACAAAAACTCACCCAATAAAAACCCCTTCTGAATGCAACAAAAGTCTAAAACACAATCAATGATCTCAATTGAACCCGATAATACCCTTCAGATACCTGATAACAACCCTATACACCCTTCTAATCCATCAAGAACTTGTATCTCACCTCATTAAATTATCACCAATTCTTATTTTATAGTCCATAAATTAAATGAATTTCATTTTACGCGTTTGAAAAATTATCATCACCACCATAGTTAAGAGAACAAGTAACTCAACTATTCATGTTTAAAAGATGAGATATAAGAGTAGAGTATTAGACAGGATCAGTGATCTAGAGTTAGTTATTGGTGCTGTGTGGTGCTGAAATCAAGGTTTGTTTGTTTTATATACGTTTTTCCGGTAAAGATGGGAGATGAAGAAGGGATGGTATTTGATTTGCCAACGTCAGCAGAAGTGAATAGGGATTTATTTGCAGAAGAAGTTGAGAATTTAAAGGGTGGGTATGATGATTTTGATGTTGATGAGTTTCTTATGAGGAACAACTTCCAATATGTGCAGTTAGATTCTTTGATTTCAGATGTATCTAATCTTTCTCGGGAGGTAGTGCAGGCATTACTGAGTCAAGTTTCAGATAGGTATGATGATTATATGAGTTTTTGCAAGACATTTGCAGGTGATGATAGCGAAACGATGATGGAATTACAACGTACTAGAGAGGATCTACATCAATTCATGTCGCAACTGGAACAGCTGGCCTCTAGGGATATCCCAAGAACAAAGGAAGTTGTTAACGATGCCATAGAGTATTTACAAAAAATTGATGAAATCGTATCGCTTTTGAAGACACATGAAGATTTAAAAGAGACTTTGTCGGTGGCCAAGCAATTGAGTGATTCCTTGCATCATCTATGTGGGAATGATGATATTGATGAAAAGATATGTAATGAGTTAACCGTCCGATTACATTCATTGGTTCATAATTCAAATAAACTTTTAGAGTCACTTTCAACATTGGACTCCCCATACGTGCGTCACATGCGTAACGAGTACCACTCACTGATACAGACATTCCAGATAGCATTGAAGCTTCTCACTGCAAGATGTCTAGAGGATCCAAAAAGATATCCATTGCTTTCAAAGACATTGATCGCAATCCTTGCGGAAACGAAAGCATAAGCTGGGGGAGGGAAAGAAACCCCCCTGTAATAAGGACAATACTGAACAGATCAATCTAGGGACTCAATTGCCAACAGAGCTTGCCATTTCAATGGCTAATCACTGGTCCATTATCGTCATTCTCATCTACTTTTATAGTATGTTAAATATACATATCATTATGTACGTCTATATTAAGCATAGAAGAATTTTCCTTTATAAAGAGATATAAATCAAGAAGCTCATCATAACAATAAAGAGATTTTAAACTCTCGGTTGAAAAGGAACTGTAGGTCAATTGAGAGCTAGCTTTGAGGATCAGGACGATTCTATTATCAATTTTGAACAGTGTTATAGTACGTCGAGATGTTTTCCTTTGGAGGATCTGGTGCAGGAGGTGCAACAGGTGCAGCAGGCACAGGTACTAGTATGTTTGGAAATCAACAACAACAACAACCACAGCAACAACAGCAACAACCACAGCAAGCTGGGTTCGGGTTTGGACAGTCAGGTGCAGGACCTGCAATGGGTGGTAGTACTGGTGGATCTCTGTTCGGTGGAGCTCAACCAACTTCTGGTGGGGCTGCACCAAGTGGTGGTTTATTTGGTAATACACAACAGCAACAGAATACATCTGCTCCAGGTGGTGGATTATTTGGCCAAGCTTCAAATACTCAAGCGGCTCCAGGTGGGTTATTTGGAGGTGCACAACAGAATACTGCAAGTGTTGGGACTACTGGGGGGATGTTCGGCAGCAATCAACAGAATCCTGCTATTTCTACAAACACAGGTGGTGGATTATTTGGAAGCAAGCAAACTCTAGGTGGACCTGCTCAAGTAGGTACTTCTGCTCCAGGTGGAGGTCTTTTTGGTAATACACAACAAAGTACTGCAGCCCCAGGTGGCGGTCTATTTGGCCAAAAGCCAGCAGGCCAATCAACCGGTGGTTTATTCGGCGGCACTACAACTCAGACTCAATCTACTCTAGGCGGAGCCAGCTCTTTATTCAGTAAACCAGTCGGAGGAGCTCCAACTACAGGTGCAACTGGTGGTCTGTTCGGAAACACACAACAAAGCACATTAGGATCTACTGGAACTACAGGTGGGTTATTTGGTAATAAGCCAGCTGCTCCTGTAACTGGATCTTTATTTGGAAATGCAGGTGCCACTGTACAACAACCCCAACCAGTTGCTGCAATGGGCGGCAGTGGTACCGGTACTCTGTTTGGTGCTAATACTATCAAATCAACGCAACCCTCTTTTGCTTGGTCTCAACCGCAACAAAGCAGTCAACCAATGTTTCAACAGCAACAACAACAACAAATCCAACAACAGTTACAGCAGCAACAGCTGCTACAACAGCAACAGCAACATTTCCAGCATTCGTATTATCCACAACAAATCCAAGAACAAGTTATTAAATGTAAAGAGTCATGGGATCCAACATCCAACAAGACTAAATTAAAAACATTTGTATATAATAAAGTGAACGAAACAGAGGCCATATTATACAATAAGCCAGCTAATGTATCACAGGATGAATGGGATTCCGCGGTTGAGAAGAAACCATCGAAAGATGTCATTCCAGTTGAAGTCATGGGTTTTGAAGGATTGAATCAACGTAATCAGGTACAAAGAGAGAATATTGCACAAGCTCGTGTGATATTCAATCAGTTATTAGAAAAATCCACTCAACTACAACAAAAGCATGAATTAGATACATCAGCCCGTATTCTAAAAGCACAATCCAGAAACGCTGAAATTGAGAGAAGGATACTAAATCTAGGGGTACAAATAGCTATTTTAAAGAGCAGAGGACTACCATTAAACGTAACTGAAGAAAAGATGTGGGATCAATTCCAAAAATTGTTAAAGCGTAGTGAAGATCCAGCAGGCCTAGGTAAGACTAACGAATTATGGGCACGTTTAGCAGTCTTAAAGGATAGAGCTAAACATATATCTGAACAGTTAGATAGTACTTTAGTGATTATGAGTGAAAATGGAGCAAGCAAGACAGATGACAGCAGAGCTAGCGGTGAAGCAGAGAATAGGATTGACAAAATAGCTGAAATTTTAAGTAACCAGCAACGCGGTATATCATACTTGAATGATGTTTTGATTAAAGATCATGCAGCTATTGACAAAGTAATTAAAAAATAAAAGAGCATTGGTAGCATTATCATGGATACGTTTGTAGTACAAATATAGTAATATATATAATAATAATTTGACTTAGATAGCGTATAATAGATTTACGATATGGACCTTAAAAGGATTTGAATACTTATGATGGGGGATTCGGAGATGAAAAGAAAAGGGGCAAGAAAGCAAGAGTAGAAGAATTACAACAATTTATTATAAATATGATATATTAATGTGTGCAACTAAACTTTATAAATCTGTAAAAATTTCTATCTAAATTATACTTTCACTTGGAAGATCATAGATGAAATAATTAAATCAGAAAATGAGGTATGATTAATGTAGTTTTTCGTTAAAAATAGATAAACAAAATCGTTCTTTCGAAGTCCATGTCCATTTTTTTATATTTTGAATTATTTTGTTTTGTTGGAACAGATTATGATCTTGGCTTTTCCTTCTTTTCCTTCCACAAAGCTAATAAAGAGACACCAGAGACCTTAACGACCTTGAATCTGACACCTGGAATATCACCCTTAGCCTTACCTTTGTTACCGAAACCAGCTAACAAGACTTCGTCATTTTCATCGACGAAGTTCAAACAACCATCATTTGGAACAAAAGCAGTAACTTTCTTACCGTTCTTGATCAATTGAACTCTGACACACTTTCTGATAGCAGAGTTTGGTTGTTTAGATTCGATACCAATTTTTTCTAAAACGATACCTTTAGCGTGAGAAGAACCACCAAATGGAGAAGATTTGAAGGCAGTACCTAGTAATCTCTTCTTGTAGGTCTTTTCAGCCCAACGGTTGTTTCTTCTGTGGATTCTTAACTTTCTAGCAGAGTTCAAACCTCTTGGTTTACCTTTACCCATATTGAATTAATGATGTGTTTCCTGGCCTTTTTAAAAACGAAATAAGTCAAAACCTATTTAAAGAAGCTTTGCAAATACACCGCAAGTAAAAGTTTATATATACAAATATTTTATAAGTATGTGAAATGCAATAGCTTTTAAGATTGGTAAATTTACTAACTTGAATATTACGAAAGGTGTATACGATAGATAGATATGATAACAGTGTAGTGTTTAGTTCAATGAAGATTATTATTGTGATGGACGATGCAAGGTAAGATACGATGATTATGAAACGGCAAGGTAAGTTTAGTAGTTTGTAGTTAACATCAACTTGGCTGTGAGAAGTGAACAAAAGGTCTGCCAATCAAAGAAAAAAAACAACCAGTATCCCAAGATGAACAATAGACTACACTACAAACTACGTTAGCAGAACAAGTTATCATCAGTAGTGTATAGATGGATTTAGCTACCACACTATTGAACAAAATCTAGCTCATCTCATCTCATCGCATCTCATCGCATTGAATTTGATGGGAAAGTGAAAAATTTCAAAATTGTTCAATGCGGCGAGTGCCTCCAATGCTTTGTGATGAAAAATATGTCTGTTGGGCTGTGGAAGGACTGTTCTTTCTAATTGCAGAAGGAGACGGTGCTAACTTAGCAGGATGACCGTCTGTACCCACCGGCACCCAGTGGCCTGGGGAAGGGGAAGGATTCCTTCTAAACACGCGCGACCACGCTATCTTTCTCTCATTGGCACTGCGCTTGTTCTTGTTCTTGTTCTTGTTCTTGTTCTTTAGAGATAATAATTTATGTTTTGCTTTTTTTTAATTTTTCCCCAGCTGACCACGCAAAAAGTGGAAATTTTACAACATGCGTACACCCGAACAAAATAGTGATGGATGTACGGGTGTACAGTCACTTGAACTTGACAGGCAACAAAGGGAATGAAAAAAAAAGGCACTTAGACATGTGTGTACTACAACGCATCCATCGCAGTTTACACAACCAACACCAACGCCAACGCCAACTTAGAACAAACTTTAACCATGACCCAAACCCCATCATCATCCATCTATTCATAGTTAAGCAAGAGACTACACTACCTTGAAGCCAAATCCAACACGAGAAAACAGTGTCTAATGATTGGTTCATTGGACCTTGGACATAGGACATTAGACCTATACCACACACGGGGATAGACAAGACAAGACAAGACAAGATAGAGAGAGAGAGATACACAGGAGCAATAGCTCGACGCTTCTTTCACTTACATTTTCACGTTGTGTTACACCAAATTGTATCACATCTTGAATGATGGGTGGCTTTAAGATGATTATTTAACATATATTCCAGTTTCCCATCCCATCCCATCCTATCATATCATATCATGGGCCTTCTCCCCTTCCTCCTCCACTTACTTGTCCCCCCTCGTACTTATCCCATTATCCCATCCCGTTAGTCATGATTCTAGTCCGGTGATTTGATCAAGTGGACTTAGCTCAACTACAACTAAACTAAACTAAACTAAACTTAGCTACAACTTAACTGATTGATTACTCTTTTTTCTTCTTCCATTCCCTCTTGCTCTGCTTTGAATTCACTTCTTGATAGAGCGATGACGACAACTTCTGAACTCGCTCTCATCTCCTATTAAGAATCATCCCATATTGAAATTATCCAGTGCTAGTGCTGGTGCTGGTGCCTGGATGGGATGGATGAATTGAATATATTTATGATTGTAGATGTAGTTAAAGCCAGTGCTGATCTTGACAAAAATATGTATAAAAGGATTGAGGTTGTTGGAGGTGTGTATATCTTTATTGCTTGGTGATGGGAGATCTTCCACCGGAGTAATCTTGGGAACTATTTGTAGTTCAGAATAGAATAAAGTAACCTAACGTATAGTAAAGTTTGTATTTGCTTTTGTTCTAGTTTCTGGCCTGATTCTGTGTTTGAGTATTCTGTATAGTGGGATCACAACAAGGAAGAGATACTTGACTTATCTTTGGCGATCAAGAAATCATTTACATTTGCATTTGAAAGTCCTCTTCACAATATTTAAGGCAGTGAACCCTGTTTTTTAATTCACTACTGCATTCTCCGTAGCTAAACCAATTATTAGAAAGTTATGAGTTCTTTAGAAAATGCATTGATCGGTGCAGTTGCATCGTCAATGGCCAATGTGACTGTGTATCCTCTGGATCTCAGCAAGACGTTGTTACAAACACAATTGAAAAATACTTCATTAGTGACACCACCGCAACAATCAGATGGCATAACATCTAATGAAACTGGGGATGAGAAAAAACCAGAGAAACCACATTATAAAAATACCATTGATTGTATCATCAAGATCTTCAAAGAGAGAGGATTCTTTGGGTTATACCAAGGTATGTCTGCATCGATTGTAGCCAATTTTGTTCAAACTTTCTTTTATTTCTTCTGGTATAACATAGTGAGAAATAGATATCTAAAGGTAAAAGTTGAAAAAAAATTCTCTACCATTGAGGAATTATCACTAGGTATAGTAGCTGCTATCTTGTCCCAAGTCTTCACAAACCCGATTTCTGTCATCTCTACAAGACAGCAGACCGCAGAGTCTGTAGAGGCATCAACCTTCCAAAATGTCATCCGTCAAATCTTGAAAGAAAGTGGTAATGACATCACGGCTTTCTGGAAAGGTTTTAAAGTATCAATGGTGTTGTCAATTAACCCTTCCATTACATATGCTTCATACCAAAAGTTGAAGCCTCTATTGACAAAATCGGTGGTCTCTTCTGTCACTGGAACCACTGATGAGCTATCTGCTGGTCAGAACTTTGTCTTGGGTGTTGTATCAAAAATGATATCAACTATGGTTACTCAACCTTTGATCATAGCTAAAACTTCATTACAGAGAACAAATTCAAAATTCAAAAGTTTCCAAGAAGTCTTATACTACTTGTATTCAAATGAAGGTGTGCTATCTCTATGGAAAGGTCTGGGTCCGCAATTGACTAAAGGTGTCATTGTCCAAGGTTTGTTATTTATGTTCAGTGGTGAAATTACAAGACTTCTAAAAAGAGTCTTGCTGTTACGCTCCATTGCTGGAAGGAAATCGGTCGTATAAATTATATATAGTTGTTTTGTAGAAGCATCACTTTTATTGAATTGATTTCATGTTCATAATAATTATTGTAGTGTCCATTAAGAATATATGTATATAAAAAAGAATATATGAATTAAATATAAAGTCATCTCAAGTGAAATTAGATTGTGTCAATGTGTCTGAGTCCTATAACAACAGCACGATATTCCAACAATTTACTTTAGCTTCAAGAAATTGTTTTCGGCTGATTTGATTAATTTTATTTCTCTTGGTTTGGTATTTTTAGTTGAATCTTCCATGTCATCAAGACAAATATCATCCTTCACAGGAATTTGGGAATTCACCTCTTGCTGTTCCTCCTCCTTCATGAAACTTTCTTGTTCCTTAAGTTGGGCAAGTTTCTGTTTGGCTGACGCGCCTTCTTCCTCCACAACATTAACCTTCACTTCATGATATAAAGGATCAGGAATACTACTTAAAACATCAGTCAGATTCTCGTACAGAGACTTTGTCGAAGTTACATCACCATAATTGTATGCAGTTGCCATGATCAGTAAGGTTGATGGAATTTTTTCTTTAATCCTCATTACTAACCAATTCTTCAAGTTCTGTTTCAATTTTGAGTCGTCGACGTCCAGGTTTCTGATTCCTCTAGAAGCACAAGCATTCTTCAATTCAACTGGGTTTAGCTGATCGACACCTTCGTAAAATATAGAAAGGTCGTCGTTTTTCAACTCTAGCATCTTGTTTCTGATACGATAACGTAACATCACATCTGTTCCGAAAGGCTGTAAATTGATATATTTGGCCAATGCAATTAAATATGGTCTAGTTGCATTATCTAAGACAGTATCATCAGTAAAGAGTCTAGCAACTTGGATCAATTGTTCTTTCGATTCGGGTTCCCCTGTAGCCCTGACATGTTTAAAGAATTCATTAAAGACAGTCGTTTGTTCTTGTGAAAAACTGGAAGGCTTCAAAGAACCAGAATCTTTCTTCATAACTTCAGATACCATTTCTCTAGTCTTCCTTAAATTTTCTATCTTTGTCTGCTTATCCTTTGGAGATTCATAAGTCGATGGGAGTAAATTAGGGAACATTTTTAAAGCAACTGGTAGTAATAATTCTGCAAATGGGATAATGATAAAGGCTGCAAAGGGGATCAGCCTAACCACATCAATTGTAGTTCTCTTGAACTGTAATTTTTCCCTACGTGTTAGTTCATAGCCTGCAGTTATCTTACTTAAAAGTCGAAATGAAATTTTAATCTCGAGTCCTAACAATTTAGTACCATTCCAATAATGACTGGCTTCATTCTTAATCCTGACCCATAGTGAAGGCTTGCCCTCTGTTAATATTACAGCTCTTGATTTAGGAATAGGAGGTCCTTTATTAGAAGAACTATGTCTAATATCATATTTCAATATAATATTATTAAAGGGCAGTCTACGGATGTGTAACTGACCATTAGCTCGTTTCATCTCCTGTCTTAACATGGCAACCTTGAATCCCAACTAACCTTATCAAAATGAGCATCAAATGTCAAGTGTTATACAGATGACCGAACCGATTGACAATAACTTGATAATTATATACTTTCAATAGATATTTCATTAAATAGGACCTATGGATACCTTTTCAGTCAGCCTTATGTATCGTATTATGATACTAGTTAAATAAGGGACCTTTTACGTAACGATGTGCGCAGTACCTTTGAAATCATAATCAACATCAAGAATGTTTATTCTTGCTCAAGGTGAAACAGCAGAATTACCATTATTTAAATGATCTATTCATAACTTGAATGAAATGTGAGTGATTCTATTATTAAACAGGTAGTTAACGTTACAGATTGTTTATATTTTTATATAAATTATGTAAATATATTTAGATATGATACAATTTTTGCTTTCTTTTCTTGATTGATGACTTGAAATTTGTAAGATGACAGTTAATATGACAACATTAATATTGATTAATTTCAAATTAACTAATAGGTTGGACCAGAGGAATTGTTTCTATTTGTGTTTGATTTCAATAATGTCTTGAAACCATTACATAGTTGAATAACACTTGGATAGTTATAGTTGACTAGGAAATACCCGGTATGTGTTAATCTTACATTCCATGTATACAATTTACTTTGGGAATTCAATTTAAACATCAAATAGAACCAACCTGGGTTTTCATAATTGAAACTGAAATAGTAAACAGATCTGTTTGGATTAACTTTCGAATAATCTTCAATAAACTTGATTACATCTTTTCTACCACCAGTTTTGAATTTTTCATTTGATGTTATTTCGTTTAACAATCTAATCTTGTTCTGTAGGTATTCGACTATAATTTGATCTAGATCATGATATCTTTGACCTTCTACAACTAATATTCTACCCAATGCTAAAGGATTTTCTTTTTCCAACTCCTGGATATCAATGTGTTGGAATAAATCTTTATCTAGTTTCCAGGTGATGGCTAAATGATCATCACCACGACTTGATTGTCTAACTACAAAATCACCACGTTCTTTACTTCTTAAGTAGTCTTCAGCTTGCTTACCGTTGAATGGGAAATAGTATGGATGGTTAATAACACGGTGAGTTCTCTTGGCTCTAGCTTCAGTCATAGTTATCTTCTTTTCCTCTTCTTGATCCTCTAATTCTTGTTTCAAGTCCCAGATATTTGGATCCCTACTATAACTGTAAGGAACATATTGATGTTTAGTATCATTTGGTAATAATGAGACTTCCGCTGTAATATTCTCATGATCGATAAAGATAACCTTAGCAGGATAAGTTCTACCAATTTCATAAAGTTCACCAGCTGGTTGTCTATATTGAGCACCTAAATGACGTTGTGCATTAACAATACATTCAACTTGGGAGTTAGTAATACAAATAATATCGTTGTGTCTGAATCTTTCAACTCTAACAGGTAAAATACAACCTTTGAAGAATGATTTTTCAGTTTCACCTGTTAAAGTTTGGAAAATTTCATCGCCATGCAATGGATGGAAATCATTTCTCAACTCTTCAAAACCATCTAATAATTCTAAAACAATGGTGTGTAGATTGTTCAGTTTCTTTTGGCCAATTTTCTTTTCTAATTCTTCGGCATATGATTCCAAATTCAATGATTCTAATTTTTGTCTTTTATCAGGATCTTCTCTTAAAATTTCAATGAATTCACTCATTGTACCTTGAGATTCCTTTTCAGCAATTGCATCTGGATCGTATTCTAGTGCATCCGCAGCTACCTTAGTAGCTAAATGATAATCTTCTGGGTGAATTCTGGTACTATCTAATTGATCATGTTCCAAGTCTTCGTATCTTTGTCTTTTTTCATTCCAAGAAATATACAAGAAACCAGCTGCGTTCATAAAGATGGTCTTATGAAGAATGTTATGGGTGATCAATTGTTGACGAGCCAATAAAGGTTCGTTCAATCTTTGTAAAGATTCTAAGAAGTCAATAGCCTTACGTTTACCAAAACCAGAAATGTATCTTAAGGCACTAGCGTAATAACCATTGTCAGTTGCTTTATTCACTTCAACACCGACTAAATTAACAATATCGACGAATGCTGATTCTAAAGTCTTCAATAATAATTCCCTTGGAATCAGAGATTGATTAGAATGGATCGATAATGAAGTTAATTCTTCAGTAGTCAAATTTGAATATTCTAATAACGGTGAATGAATATAACGGGCTAAACCAATACAGTATTTTACCAATGATGGTTTGTTTGGGAATTCTTGAGAAGCTCTTTCTGAATTTTGATAACGGATCGCAACTTCATCTTCAACGTAAATAATAGGGATAGTATGACCCCTAGAGTCTACGATTTGTTTGCTGTGAACAATTTCTTGTAACCTCTTATAAAACCTTTGAGTTCTTGGGTTTGGACCATTGATACCTACAACATTGATTTGGCAGTTCTGGATAATGTCGTCGAAAACTTCTTCAAATTTTTGAGGGTTTGATCTATCAAATGGATTTTCAACAATTTTAAAATCCCTCACAAATTCACCTTTACGATTAATGTAAGTTGCAATGATAGCATCAGATCCAAATCTACCTTCACCACATGTGATAGTCAAGACTCTAGGAATTTTTGGTTCTTTGGCATTTGGAATAAATGGAGCTTGATCTAATTTAGTCATAAATTTATGACGGATTGATCTAGCAACTAACTTTTGACAGCTCTTAGATAAATCATCCTTAATTTCACGAGAAATACTAGAAAGAATTTGATCTAGTGCTTGTCTAAATGCGGCTTTACGGAAATCATTCCATGCCGTTGCTAATTCTGATGTATCTGTTGTTTCAGCAGCTATTTGAAACAAGTGATCAATATACTGAGAATGGGAAGACATGTGCAATTTAACATTCAATAAATTTAAAGATTCGGCTTCTAACATACGTAAGAACAAATCAGGATCCTTTCTGAAATGCATTGGAGTTCTGTTGATTGCATATTTTATATCTTCGTAAATTGAACCCCTTTGGATTTCTCTTCTACCTTTAGTAGTTAACACTACATCAGCCAAATAATATTTGTAGAAGTCAGATCTAACTTTTTCCCTAACTTTAGTATTTTTGGAAATTTCCATCGAGTAATACTTTTGAATAGTGTCTACAGCTAATTTATTGTTTGATGAAAAAATCTGTAGACCAGTCCCGTTTTTATCAAGAATAGATTTTATTAATTCTATAGGTTTTAAAGTTTCATTGTCTTTTGGAATATTAATCTGATGCTGTGAACTGATGTTTTCACCAATTTGTTCAGCAGTGATACCCATACCAGCAACGGCTTCGTATAATGGACTAGATTTGAATTTTTCATAACTAGAATTTTTTAGATGCTTCTTACCAGAATTTTCAGTAGATTTTGATAAAAGTTCGTTGATCTCTTTAGCATATTTAAATTCCAAATAATCGTATATATCTTGTAATGAATTTAATTCTGCAGTTGTAGCAGTATGCTGATTACTAAAGTATTCGTTGACAATCGAATCTGTAATATCTAACTCATCATAAAACTTTTTAACATAATTTCTCTTGTGGATAATACTATGGAATTCGATATTTAAATTGACAATTTCCCATAAATCATCTTCAGTTAAAACAAAGCCATCCTTGGATTTTGATGAGATATAGTTACGACGGTATGCAAAGATAAAAGGGACTTCTAAATTGTCTTCGGAAATAAATCTGATAGCATTACCAATGGCATCCTTAAACTCAGTTAGATCATAATTAGGAGCAAAGTTCTTATCAATAGAAATTTTGTCACTAATCCAGTTCTTTTGTAATTCTTTGTCCTCTGTACTTAGTTCACCGTAGTTGATTAGACCTTCTCTTAACTCTTGGAATCTTTCAGGAATATCAGCCTTTCTTATGATCATATCTTCATCAGTCATTAAATTTTTCTTTAAATCTTGTAAATCATAAATATCTTTCAATTCGATTTTCTTTTTAGATCCGGTGATACCGAGTTCTTCCTCTTCTTCATTATTTAAACCACCATCATCTAAATTACCTTCTAATTCTTCATTTTCAATTTCTAAAGCCCAGTCGTAATCATGACCATCACCAAAAATATCATACATTTCATCGATTTTATCAGAAGATAAACCAGTAATTTGTACTGGTTGTTTCATACGTTGTTCTCTTAACAGTTTTCTTTCTGCAATTCTCTGTTTTCTACTTTCTTCATCTTCATCAGAAAATTCATCTTCTTCAATGAAATCGTCTAACTCATCTATTATTGAACCAGTATGTGATCTTTGGCGAGTATCATGGTCTTCACGATCCATTCTATCTCTTGAGCTTTTACCTTCTTCAAAAGTATCATTATGTTCATCGCCTTCTTCTTCTTCTTCTTCCTCAGAAAAGAAATCATCTAACTTTGAGCCAGTAGATTCTTTCTTTAAGTCTTCATCTTCTTCAGAAAGCTCGTCTTCAGCACCAGCTCTCTTTAATCTTTTTAATTTGCCGGATGCTCCAGTATCAGTAGTTCTCTTAACACCAGCATTTTCCATCAACAGATCCAAATCGTCTTCAGATAGCCTATCCTCCTCTTCTTCACGCTGTCTCCTCTTGTGCTTTCTTCTTCTTTTAGAACCGCTGTCTACTTGTTCTTCATCTTCGTCGACGATAAAGCCTTCTTTTATCTTTCTGGCTTCATCTTCATCGTCGTCCAAATCAGCATCATCTTCAGAGGAATCAAACACATCATCACCTTCCTCTTCATCACTAGGAGCTCTATCTTCATCACCATTAGCGACTAGCTCTTCCTCGTCTCTGGTTATTAAACCTTCTTGAGATGCAATGTCCTCTCTTTCTTCAGACATTACGATCTAATCTTATTAAACCTTTAATAGTTTCCACAGGAAAAAATGGTAACCCACTAATGCCTGATCCTTCAATGCCTTAAGAACTAATACTAGGCTAATGTTAAGACCTTTTGGTTGTTGGTTTTACAACTCTTTGGTAAAGTTCTTTTATCTGTTTCTTCTTGTTTCTTAAGTCTTTTAAAGCTTTTAATTTATTTCAATTCGAATAACAACAACTTTGTTCCGTATATAATGAGTATTCCGGTTTTCGACGAATACGTACGTGATGATGTGTGATCACGTGTATAATCAGATTCTGGGTATATCTCTTCTAAAGATGGGCTGATAAAGAGCAAGAACTGAATTTAGTTTAAGTAATAACAGTCATTTCCATCGAGATAAATAATTATTATACTTCATAATGTATTATTTGGTACATACGTGTATATATATACATGTGAATATTTGAACTTATATGTATAGAAAGGACAAAATGTGTCTATAAAAAAATCAAATGAAATTATTACTTATTAAAATTGAACTGAGAAGAGTTTCTCAGGAATGGTGAAATAACTTTTATTGGAATCTTTCCGATGGTAATAAATCGACGTCCATAGCGCCTCCTTGTTCTTGCATCCTTATATTTGCTGAAATATTACGTTCAATATTCTTCTCTTCTTTTGCTTCATCACCACCGCAAGCACAATTAGCATCTTCATCATCATCGATTACCGCACTTCCAGATTTATCTTTTGCTGGTTCACAACAACAGTTGTCTTCAACTTCTCTTTCATCATCTTTTTCGTTATAGTATTCATTTTGAACGTTTGTTGATGTAGTTGTTACATTGTTAATGTTGTTACCTCTTCTATGTCTGCCACATTGACAGTTACCAGCACCTGGGCAGTTCTTAGTATTTTCTAGTTCTCTTTGGATGTCCCATCTTTTTAACATGCACAACTTGCATCTGTTAAAAAAGACTTCGGCTAATGCCAAACCAGTAATAATACCAAAGACATAGGTCAATACAAAAGACATGGCAGCCAACATTAGCATATAGATTATCATAGTGGAAGTGAATGTCAACAATGTTCTAATTAGGTCATGGGAAACATCAATTAAAGATGGTCTGAAGATATCACCAATAACGTTTGGTAGCTTTGGTAGTGGATCTACTACAAAAGTATCGTCAGATAAATATCCATCATTATACTGATCTTTCTTATTAGCGCTCGAACGAGCAGCATCCATAGTACTGAACTTGTTCTTTTTATTCCATTTCTTGAACCAGTGGACTTCTAAACACCAGCTAACGAATAATAGAAATTTGTAAACGAATGCGGCAGTCATCAATAAAACGAAGATACCAAATGCCTTAGCTTTAGTATTTGCGTGCAAACCATGGAAAAGAACTGGGTAACCATTGAAGGTTCTAGTTAAGTAGTAATTCATTCCCATATCCATATCCATGTCCATTCCAGACATACTGCTATTACTTGACATGGTACTGTTACCACCCATATCCATTCCAGACATTCCAGACATACCAGACATGCTGGATGAAGCAGATGATTGTGCTGTACTTGTACTCATTTGCATGCTCATTGTCATAGAGGAACTTGGGGATGTGGTCATTGATGCCATATTCATTGACATAGAGGATGAACTCATATCCATTACCATACTAGAGACTGCAGATGAGGCCATACTCATTGCTGAGCTCATCATCATGCTCATCATTTCGCCACTTGCCATTGACATTGACATTGCTATCGAAGCTGTAGTGGTTGCACTCATTGTGCTTGTAGCATCCATATTCATCTTACCTTCAAATTGTTTTAAGTTAGCTTCTTATCACTATAATGAACTTTTTGTATCCCTTGAACAAAAGCCGATCAGTTACTATCAATTGGAAACTTAACGAAAAAAAGTCAACAAATACGATTCGAAGTGGTCAATTGATTTATTGTTTATTACTGCAATAAATCAGGCTAAATTTTGAATCAATTGGATTCCTTGATGCTATTTATCTTAGGCCTGACTAACATTTTGGCATTCAGTAGAACTTAAATTGGGCTCTTTTGTTCCCTCAATTATATACTACCTCATCTCAAAAGATTTCAATCGACAATGTTGCCATATTTGCTCGTTAAATACCAAAAATTATTCTCACAAAATCGTCTCATTGCGCAATTATATGCATCGTTTTGAGCAAATTCATGCAGACAAACAAAAATCAGTATATCACGTGACTGTGATTTTAGATACAAATGTAAGGAATCGACGATAGAAGCACTTTAGTTTTGATGTTAAATGTGTAATTCAACAAGGTAATCTTCATCGAATAGGTCTTATTGGGATTTAGAATTGGAAATATACTTGTTTCCAACCAAGTATTCCTGTGCTCTCTGACATGTCAATCAGGTGTAGTGAGAACTTTTGATAAAAGAACCGACGCGATCGTTAAAAGATAGCTTAACTATCAATACTCTAATAGAAAAAGTATCGATTATAGTGCATATTTTTATCTGGTGTAGCAACGGTAATTGCTCACAGAGGGTAAAAAGTGTTAAGATAAGTGTTTAGCGGGTCAATTGACTCAAGGTTGGTGAGAAAAATGCTTTTTAACTCACCTGAATGGCGGTCTCGAACTATTTGAAAGGTTATCACTTCTTGTTTTTTTATTCACTTGACCGCTAGATGATGAGACAAGTCTTGCTCTCCCCTCATTGTTTCCCTTCTGAGTTAATTGAGGGTTGCTAACAATTCTTGATGCACCACTTCCTAATGAAAACATTTGCCTTTGTCTATTGGCATCTTGACGTTGATATTGGTTAGAAATTGGATTAGTTTGAGAATTATTGTTAAAATCAGAGGAAGTTGCAATACTGTTTCTAATTGTATGAAGTATAGATTTTCTTCTCAATTTGCTGTTTCTATTTCTAGTCTTAGCAGTTGACGTTTCCCGTAGAAACTTTTTAGCTAATTCATTTGGTGGATTGAGCACAAACGATGCTTCACTATTAACATCATCAAAATCTTCTTCGTCCTCTGAATCATCTTCGTTATCACGAGTATCTGATTTGCCACTAGCTAAACTTTGGGTATTCTCTCTCTGTAATTGTGGGTTTCTAGATATATTTCTTCTTGCTTGTGAGGTTGTAAGTACAGGTTGGATAAACTCGGATTTATTATCATTTCTTAATGCATTGATTTTATCAATCAATCCCTGTTTTTCTGATTCCAAAGAATCGAGCTTTCTTAGTTTATTAATCTCAGTTTCTATATCATTTGGGACATGAGGAAATGCAACACACCAAGAATTGCACATCAAACCATATAATAAAGACCCCAATGATTCATTAAAGTCAACTAGATTCTCTTGAATAATATTCAAATCTGAAAAATTCTTGTCCAAAGTCGCTAAAGAATCACTTATCTGTCTAATATTAGGTATTAAAATTTCATCAACTAAATCAACAATTGCATTAGTCCCACCAATCGTAGTATCATACATTGATGAATTACTCACAGCTGCTCCAGCATATCCGGATTCACTAATACTTCTTCCTAGCGAGGCCCTTCTAGAACTAGGATTGCTGCTCACAGATAATTTATACTCAGTGGCTGGTCTTGATTCAACAACCTTTCCTTTGTTATGGCTCATTATTAATCGTAATTATAAAGATATTTGTAGCTTATCTCAGAATAATAAGAAGTATATATTTCCTCTCCGGAAAAAAAAGGATTCAACACCAACAATAAAAATAGTTTTAATGAATAGTTATTCAAAATAGAATATATGCACTTAATCCAGCTATTCGAGCGTCGTTGGTACACTTATTCTTTGTCAAAATACAACTTCTTGTTACATTAAAGTTGATGTTTTTATATTCTTTATTTGTTTTCATTTTAACCGCTCGCTGATTTAATTTCAGATATCCGTTCCAAGTGATATTTTGTTATGTGTATCACGTGATATAGGTAAAGTAGTGATGAGACAGGAAGAGACTGCCATGATAATACATATAAATCATCTATATTAAGAACACTAGTATTTAAATTTATTTCTTTACATACTTGACTGTAATATCAGGAGAAATATTATATGGTATCCGATATTCATTCCTTGATAAAATTACATATCCATCAGCATGACTCTGTCAGTGCTTCATCGATATTTAGATAAGTATGACTAAAGACATCATCTAGAAACTCCTATCGAAGGACTAGGTATCTGTTAGCAGTTGGTAATGTTGGAATATGATATATATACGGCTATTAATAAGAAATCGATTTAGAATTCTTGATCAATGTCTATTATTCTAGAAATGACAGTAAATTATATAAGGACGAGAACAAATCAAAAAGTGAAAGAAGTGTGGTAGAAACAGGATAAGAATTATCTCAGCCAAGTGTAAAGTTTTAGGATCTGTAATATATTTTAATATACCTTGTACTTCATCTCAAGAAGTAGTAGTTGATATATATATATATATCAAGATATTTCCTTGTGGAAAGAAACATAGCGGCTTTAAGCTATTATATTGGCACTTGGCGTCTGACTTCTTTTTACAATAACGTCTTAGCCAAGAATGAAGAAAAATTGATGATTGACTTTCATAATATTTGTAAAAATAATAATATACCAGTAGAGAAAAACGTATGAATATTAATAAAATTTATTCTTTATTTTTGATGTCAGTGCCAAATAAACTCACCTGAATTTCATTTTCTCTTAATTCTAACTTACATAGCCAGCCAGTCACTAACAAGGAGCCAACTAAATCTTATTTTATTACCTGCAATTGTTCATTTTATATATTTTTTACTTTCACTTAAATTATTCAAACACTAATTATCTCTATTAGGCATTGAGCAACCCTATTTTACTATTGCCCAATCTCGCTTAAACCTGTAATAGATAAGATTAGGAAACAACAATGCCACGAATTAAATCTATAGATATAGATCAAATAACAATACTTAATAAAATGAACTACGAGTGTATTTATATATCTGGATGACTTTTTTTCATAATGTTTTTCATTTATTAGCACTCATTTATTTACAAATTCTAATACATTTAATGTACGTACTATATGAATTATGAATAATTAGTATTTATAAGTAATACGAGGTTATATTTACATGTATTTCTTTGCGTATTTTAATTTATCTTTCTTCAATTGTGACTGAGATAATGCATTACCACCTTTGAATTTAATCAATGCAACCACTAAAAAGATTGAACTTAAAAATGAAAGACCATACCAAGTGACAAGGTATTGTAAATGGTTATTTTTCAAGTCAATTTTAGCAAATTTACCAATGGGCACACCAGCTTTAGCGAATTGTATTTCACTGAACTCGACAGTTTCGTCTGTATTGCTTCTGTGTAAAAGTTGGATGTTTTTTCCAGAAGGAGAACTGTTTCCAGTGCCTCTCTCATCATTTTGAGCGGTCTTTTTAGATTCCCAAAACTTCCATGACCAACCACTAGAATTGTTTTTTCCAGTTGCAGCCTCGTTATTGGCAGCATCAATTGGTCTATAGTGATCCTTTAAATCATATAACATTTGAAAATGGACAGGGCTGCATCCGGCAACAGCAGCCATGGCATAGACATCAGGAACTTGCCATAATCTAGAATTTTTATCCTCCTTGTCCCATTGCAGACTAGTACGTTTCTTAGGAACACGTACAAAACAAGTTATATCAATGACACCTTGTGGAAATGAAAGATGTTGTAATGTTCTTGACTGTGGTAGCACTTTATCGGAACTGATCCAACCTCTTTCAATTAAAAGTTTTTCACCTGTATCCTCTCTAATGAATGGAGTGAATAGCAAATACCCTTTCTCACCATTTCTAACACGGGGTCCAACAAACATCTCTTGTTCATGAACAAATTTACCCGTTATAATAACTTTTCTATATTCCCAATGTTCACTACTCTCTAGATCAAAATGTTTAGGCAAAGGAGTAGGTTCATAAGTCAATCTATCCTCGCAAGCTGCAATTAACTTAGTCTTCCAAGATAATCTTCTTAACTGCCAAGTACCTAAATAAAAGGATATAATAGGTACTGCACACATTAAACCAAGAACAATCTTCTTCCCTATACCATTTTTATTCCTACCCTCATTTGGAGTTCTCCCAGTCTTAATAGGTTTCCAATCTACAGTAGAAGTAACAACATTTCTTCGAGATGAAACCCTAAATATAGGTTTATTAAACCTCAGAGTTTTGGACATTGGCAAGCCCAGCACCCTCCCTTGAAGCCTATAAGCTAACATTTGATTTGGTATCTTAACTAGATAAATTCAAAAAAATATAACAATATTAGATATACCTTAAAAATCAATACAATGGACCTTAAATCAAATATAATATACCTTGATTAGCTTCGCATAAGAGCTATATCTGATTCATATTTCAAATTAGTATCAAGTATCTTTAATTGTATCATTGGGTTCCTTTTGTATTGGTTTTTTCAATTAACCTCAAAATTTCATATAGCCAGTAGAGCATCTTTAAAAATCGAATCCTTTCTACAAAGGCTTTACAGTAAGAAATTGAATAATTAATAAGATGTCTATTATAAAGTGTTCCTGATGTATATATGTATATATGAATATATATATATACTTGGCGTTGGTTTCAAGTTATGATATTTATTTAGAACCAACAGAATTTAGTGTTATTATCCCACATCAAATTTTCTGATGTGACTCCAAGAGGTGGTCTTGCTGCACTTAGAGAACCGTTTTCTTTATACAAATTGGCATCAGGCTCTATTTCTGTGATTATCTGGTTCAATTGTGGATACTCCTGTTTAGATAGTTCTTCATCCCAGAATTCCAAATGTGATAGATTTTGTGATTTAGTCTCTTGGATTGCATGAGCAATAAGCTCTTTTAATCTTTCTTCTTTATCAGGACAGGCATCATCAATGTAAACTTTAGTTATGATTAAACAGTTGTCATTCCATGCATGGTGCCAGATAATGTGGCTATTGTCATTGTTGAATCTGAACCCAAATATATTGGAATCTGGGTTACCTCTTTGTGCTTCGCTTTTAATGAACAGATCTCTATCTTCAAACCAACTGTAAATTTGAATATCAGGTTTCACTGTATAGATGAATTTTGTTGGGAATTTTTTATTTAATTCTATTAATTGTTCTTTAAATTTCGTGTCCTGTAGTTCGATCAAATCACTATAGGCTCCATATTCGAGATAATTGCCATTAGAGTCTAATTTACCGTTACAGTATTTGGAGTATAATAAATCCAGATTAGTAATTTCATGAACTGGAACATGGTAAGATTTGTAATCTACTCTTTCATAATAGTCACCAACTTCACTGTAAAGATTTATAATCATATTCTTTATGGCCTTTGGTGCACTTGGATCAGAACGCAATTTATCGTAGTACTGATTTAAGCTACTGATCATCTTTTCTGCATAACCTTTTTTACGATGGTTAGGTAATGTAAAAACACCACCAATACAAGCAACTAAAGTAGGCTCGATTTCACCATGTGAGTTTGGGTGAATGCAGTAACCCAATCTATTTAGCGTTTCACAACTGGCCACTATCTGTTTCATTTTCTTTGGATCATCGGAAGAACAAACAATCGATTCATCTCTCAAGACAAAATATTTAAGACCAAACCATTCGTAACATTCAGGAAACATCTTCTGGAAATCAGGTTGCTCATTCTTCTTGGCAATTTTAGATTGCCCCAATACAGCTTCTCTATCAGCGTACTTCTCAACAGTTAAGATTCCCTTCCATTTAGCACCATTATTTAAATGTGTATAACGAATAATTTCAGGATCATTGTATTGTTCAAACTTTAAACTACCCTCAACAACTGACATCTTCTTATAAGCTCAAAACTGGACCCTATTCTATTTTATCTCTAATCAGTTCCTGCCCAATTATAATATTCAACAATCTGGTAGAAATGCAATGCTAAAATCAAAATTCCCTTGGGAGGTAAGTAAAAATCTCGAATATTAGACTTCAAACAAGTAACAAAGAGTAATAAATAAACATTCCTTCCACTCAATTAAACATTTGGTCAACATCAATGAGTTCAATCTTGATTACTTGACCTTTTATATACCTCATCGCATATATTTTTCGAAATTGGATTAACTTCGTCATTACAATGGTATTTGAAATTCCTACGGAATTATTCAAGTTGCCTGCCAGTAACCTGCCAGTAACCCAACAATAATACAGAATGGTGGTTCTTAAACCAATTAAAGAAATATTCAGGGAAGAAAGACCTCTGATTAGAGTGTTGTATACCTTTCTTAATTTAAGATTCAAATTCCATAGTTTTTCTATAAAGATAATGCATTATATATATAAAAGGACAGTAATAACTACAAAGAACTAATAATAATGATTGGTAGAATATCTGTACGAACTAATTCGGTACTTAATCATACTTTGAATATATGAACATCATTAACTTTTGTTAAAGTTATCGCAGGTTTTACACTAGAAGACCATGTTTGAATATTGGAGCTATCACTTTGTTTGCTCGATGGGAAAATACCAGAAAAATTTGGCTTGACACTGATGGCAATAATCTTCAATACCTCACTAGTGACAATTTTACAGAATTTCCAACCTTCACCTCGATTACTGAAATAATTGAACAGAAGCTTGAAAAGCTTTCCCGGTCTTCCTTGTGACTCACTAACCATACTTTTTAATGTGTCGTTGTTAATGGTAAACCCATTTAATTTTAAAAACCCCTCCAACTGCAAGAAAAACTTTCTGTTCATGATTTCCTGAGTTGCCATTGGACTTGTAATCGCTACTGATAACTTACTTCTGTTCACTGAACTGATAGAGATATTTTCCTCAAAAAATTTCAGATATTTCTTTAAGGTTAGATGTTTGATGAAATTCAAATCAGTCTCAATATCATCATTAGAGAAATTATATCTCTTGCTTGTGATTTCGTTCTTAATTCTCCTATGGGTTATCATTTGTAAGCTGTTCAAAACTGAAAAATCTCCAGCTTGTACATTAGCTGCAATCCCATCAAGAACATTAGGTGGACCAGCCGTACTCATCATATCCCCCGTTGAATCACCGCCCATTGTCGACAAGTAATCTTTTACAAATTTTTTTCCAAATTGTTCTTCTGATAATTTCTTTAGTACCTCGGATTCTAGGAAATACAAGTATTCATCGATCTTTTCTTCTAAGTCCAATGGATTGCTTCCCGACATGACAGTGATATGGATTCCAACTGTGTCCGAAAGTACTCTCATCCCACCAAATACTACATAGCCGATTTGTTTCTTATTTCTAAGATCAGGAACTAAGGTTAGAGATAAAAGGTATTCGGTAAATGATGTCAAAGCAAGAGCTTTCTTATCATCTCTTTTGCCAGTTTGAATAAAATAAACAATACAATTATTAGGGTCATCAGGATGTCCAAAATGTTCGAATATGCAATTTGTTCCTGGTTCTAGCAGTTTTGTCGTCTTTGAACAATCGACTGATTTTGTATTTTTACCTGATTTTTCACCTAAATGATTTGTAAAACTGTCATTTAGATATTTGTTTATTTCATTGGCACATTTTAAATTGCCTTGTACAATCAAATTTAAGTATTTTTTAGAACGAAGGAAAGCAATACAAAACTCTTTGAATGAATGAATATCGGACTCTTCTAAGGCATTCAGTCTGTCTTCTAAAGGCCAAATATATTTTTCAAGCATAATGATTAGCCCAACGCTTGCAAGTTTGGCACAATTCTCTGCTGCTGCACTTTCATACTTTCTTCTTGTAAGAATTCTGGCTCTTCTCAGTAATCTTTTTGATGGAATTTCATCATCAATTGCAATTGTAAAGCAGGTTTTAATGACGGTTTTGACAACTTCTGTTAACCCATCTGAATAACCAGAAAGTGTAAAACTCAATCTAACATCTCCCTTCGAGGAAGATGCAATTTCGTAAGTATATCCTAATTTTAAAGAAGGGTATAATTTTGGAGATAGTAAAACGTATAAAATTTGACCTAAAATTTCCAAATGCATTGTATTTTTGGGGGTTGGTGGTACATCCAAACTTAATAAATCAAACGTCACAATTGTCTTTTTCTCAGTAGAAGGTCGGAATTTATCTTCCATCACCCACATTTCATACATGTCACCTTTTTCCGCCAACTTTGGTATTGGTCTAGTAGCCTTACTAGGAGTTGTTAATGATAATATTGGTGATCTCGATTCATATGAAACTTTTTTCAGCATTTCCCGTAAGTATAATAAACTTCTTCCTAATTCGGGAATGTATTCATTTTTAGCAGGGAATTTTAAGTTTGAGAATATATCTACCTGATCTTCTGGTACCTTTTCAGGTAACACCGATAATTTAATATAATCAAATTCATAAAATGTGTCAGTAACCAACTTTTGTTCAGAAACATTTTTACCAAAATATTGTTTTTCGGAAAAATCGCATAATAATGCAATTCTTAACAAATCTTTATTCATGTACATTTCCAAAAATTCCTGGTACATGGTAGCCTTATTTAACCACCATTGTCTACTCTCTGAACTTTCTCCAAAATTACCAATAGTAGGATATTTGTTTCCTACTATCATCGGACTTTGTTTGAACAGACATTCTGGCTTCAGAATATCAAGATCCGTTTGCATAAGACCACTTAAGTCTGAGCATTCCTCCATTGGTGATAACTCACTTTCTTTGTGAAGAAAATTTAACAAATCAATTGAATCACATTCGCTTAAAAACCTAGCCAATTCTTCCGTATACTCTTTTGATAATTTTGGAATTGCCGATTCCATAATTGAATTTATAATGTGACTGACGTTATTTAAACCTTTATCTGTTAGAGAAAATTCTAATATCAATCCAATATTGTTCAATGCAAAATCTGATGTGAATGCCAGTATGTCAGTTATATATTCCTCATTCATCAGAATGTTACATATAGAATTCTCTGACTCGTCTCCCAAAGTTTCACACCAAAGGTTGCAAAAGGTTATCAATTCTTCCTTACTAAACTTACCTTTATTTGTTACCACTGGAAATACCAATCTTAAAACGGGTTTTTTGTTTGACTTTACAATAATTGTATTGTATTTTGGCTTGGGGTCAAAACAAACCATGTTATTGTACTTTGGTGACCAGACGTTCTCCAAAATTTTAGTTGATAATAAAGAAGAGTTGGTTTCACTTAAAACTGAGCTAATAGACTTACATGAAGTTGGAGATGATGGGGACAATGGTATAGATTTTTCAGATGTCGAAATCGATTTTCTTATAGTTCCAAATCTTTTTGGTTTTTTAATTGAGTTTAAGCCTTTAATATCAGAAAAATATCGAATAGCTATTTTTGTAAGGATATTAACAGATTGAGGTCCCTTTATACATAATGTCATGTTTTCGGCCTTAAAATTCACCTTAAAGTAAGAGTCTAATAGAGATTTTAAGTTGATTTTCCTGAGTTGAGGACCACTACTCAAGGTATTGATATTACCAGTTGAGAAGTGACTAAATGGGTGATTACTATTAGCTAAAAGTCTTTCAGCATGGTAAAAAATTTTAGTTGGATTTGATGTATTCCCAGTATGTTCACTTTCAATGGCATAAATTTCTTTACTTGTTAGTGTTTGATTAAAAAGTGGGTCTTTGAAAAAAGATGCGAAAACATCTATAATATCCTCGAAGACAGGCGTCGAGGTTTGGTTAACGTTTGGTAATTCGAAATAAAAAGTAGTCTGTTCACCTGTAGTATAGGCGTTTTGTAACCCTTTATTTTTGGCAATCAATTCATGATAAAGACCCGGGTTTGGATACTTTTTTGAACCAGCCGCCAAAATCATGTGCTCACATAAATGAGCTAGACCTGGAATTTCTTTTGGATCGTTATGAGAACCAGTTGCAACAGAAAGGGAACAGCCAAATGAAGACTCACCAGGATCTGAAATCAGCAATACTAGCATACCATTGGGTAGTCTACATAGCTTGTTGGTTCTTCCACGATAAGATATTGGTGTGTAAAATGGGATGTCATAGTTCTTAACCTCAGACCAAGACATTGTTATATTATTCCCAACAAAAAAGAAAATATACCTATGTCTTATTGTTCAACTTTAAAAATCTTACCACGAATTTCAAAAATAATCTTCCTTGTGGTTCTTTATATACTAATGGTTGCCAGTTCTCTATAGAATTTCAAAGCTTAAAAGCATCATGTCTCAACCAAAAATAAATACGATATTTTAACCTTTCAAATTCAAATTTTTTAGTTCAAGTTAATTGAAATAAACTAGATTGAAATTATAAATCTCTAATTGATCCAATAATATAGTAGGCACCTTCATCCAAATCTACTTTCCAGAACTCATCAATCACTCTTATTGATGGGTTTAGCATACTTTACCATACACATTTTGTTTCATGTGTCCTTCCAAATCGGGTAATTACAGTGTAACTACGTACAAAACTCAAAACTTTCCGAGTATTTCGAAGATATCAGATTGATGGTTTGTTCCATATTTGGGTAATTATGGATGATGTAATGCAATTAGGAACTTGAGTGTTGTCAACATAGAGGAAGGTTGTGTTCTAATATATTATATTGTATTCCATTGTATTGGACTATATGTTTGTTGCGCTGTATACAAGAAAATGTATGGTTTCCTGTGTCGTATCGTAAATGGCAATTAATTTGTATCTAAAGTGGAATGTTGCGTTGTGTCTTTTTTTTTTCCTGAAAGATGGATCCATTCCTTTGGCTTGTTTGTTTACAGCATAAAATATACATTCTTGAATTGCACGTGAAGTAAGTAAAAGTCTATAAGTTAAAATGTTTGTAAGTACTTGAAACACGAGAAATGTAGATACATAGGTACTCTGGGGGTTCTTACAGTTTGTCTTAATTTGGTGAGAAAGGTGTAGGTAGATATGCTTTATACCAGTCAGATTCTTCCATTTAGCAATAGAGAGAGACGGTTAAAAACAAAACTTTCAAGTTTTGGATTAAGTTTTGGGTTGTGGAGGACAAGTAAGCTGTTAGATTTCCAAAAATAGGAAAAAATAATATCTCCCGGGGGCGAGTCGAACGCCCGATCTCAAGATTACTTTGTTGAAACATTACAGTCTTGCGCCTTAAACCAACTTGGCTACCGAGAGAAAATCAGATGTTTTATGGAAGAAAAGGCATTATCTTATAAAGGTAAAATCAAGTCTATATACCGTACAATATGATTCAATATCATCGTAGCCTGATTTTATTTCAATTGCACAGCATCATTAACATATTCCCGACAATTACTTTCACTCCACTGGATAGAAAATCATAATTATTGATTCAAGAGTGTGTTATCTAATGAACAGATTTTAAATCGAAATGTATCTAATTATCGTCTAAAAACTTATAAAGATTCGTTATAAAAGCATTAAATGATGTAAAACGATGAAATAAAGATTATATTATTTCAATGAATTTACAATTGGAAACCGTGGTGGAATTTTTCACCAGCGTAGACAGCCTTGTCACCCAATTCTTCTTCGATTCTCAAGATTTGGTTCAATTTAGCCAATCTTTCGGATCTAGCTGGAGCACCAGTCTTAATTTGACCAGATCTCAAACCAACGACCAAGTCAGCAATGAAAGTGTCTTCAGTTTCACCAGATCTGTGGGAAACCATAACACCCCAACCGGCGGCGAAAGAGTCTTGAGCAGCCTTGATGGATTCAGTCAAAGAACCGATTTGGTTGACCTTCAACAACAAAGCGTCAGCAGCCTTCTTTTCAATGGCAGTGGCAATTCTGGCTGGGTTGGTGACAGTTAAATCATCAGCAACAATTTGGATACCAGCGGTCTTGAAGAAGTGAGACCAAGCTTCCCAGTCATCTTCAGCGAATGGATCTTCAATGGAGACAATTGGGTATTTCTTCATCAAGTTGTGGTACATGTCAGCTAATTCTGGACCAGACAACCATTTGGATGGGTCAGATTCTGGGTTTTTGAAGTCCAAGTCGTACTTACCGTCCTTGAAGAATTCAGAAGAAGCACAGTCTAAACCGATCTTGATCTTACCTTCGTGACCAGCCAACTTAATGGAGTCAACGATTAAGTCCAAAGCTTCTTCAGCAGTTTGGATGTTTGGAGCAACACCACCTTCGTCACCGACGTTACCGGCAGAAGAACCGTATCTCTTCTTGGTCAAAGATTTCAAATGGTGGTAGACTTCAGAACCCATTCTCAAAGCTTCAGAGAAGGATGGAGCACCAGTTGGAGCAATCATGAATTCTTGCAAAGCTAAAGCACCACCAGCGTGGGAACCACCGTTCAAGACGTTCAAGAATGGAACTGGCAAAACGAATGGAGAAGCCTTGGAAGCAGATAAGTCAGCCAAATGTTGGTACAATGGGACATTCTTTTCAGCAGCGGCAGCTCTGGCAACAGCTAAAGAGACACCCAAGATAGCGTTAGCACCCAACTTGGATTTGTTTGGAGTACCGTCCAAAGCAATCATGAAGTCATCGACAGCCTTTTGGTCTTTGACATCAACGTTAGCCTTGATCAAAGCTGGAGCAATGACGTTGTTAACGTTGTTAACAGCGTTCATGACACCCTTACCTAACCATTTGGATTTGTCTTCATCTCTCATTTCCAAAGCTTCGTGGATACCAGTGGAAGCACCAGATGGGACCATAGCTCTGAAAACACCCTTTTCAGTGGAAACTTCAACTTCGACAGTTGGGTTACCACGGGAGTCGTAGACAGATCTAGCGTAAACCTTAGAAATAGCCATTGTTGTTTGTTGTTGTGTTGTTAGATACAGTGAATGTAATCTGGTCTCTTTAAATTTGAACAAGAAAAGTAATAATAAAAGTATAGAAATATAAAATTAATACAACAAGAATAATTGATACATGTTTAAAATAAATCAAACATCCTATATCCTTATATATTAAATATTTCCCAAAAATATTTTTAAAACAAGTTTAGACAATGTTCCAAAAAATGTGAAAAAGTCATCATCATCATCATCATCATCATCATCATCATCATCATCGCCATCATGAAAGTGTAGGGGGGGTTATTACAAGAATTTTATGTTTTACCAATTCAACACGTTTATGGAACCTAAGTAGAATACTACTAATAATAAATTGCGTATAATTTTTTTCAAAACCTCCATTGTCACCAAAATAGAACAACATAACACCAACCAAATAAAAAGTAATAATATAACAATAATGATATGAATAAAAAGGTTTAAGCATCTAAATCAAATCAATTGACAAATACAACATTCTAGTAAATTCTATAGAGTGATACTTCATTAGTTGCTACAAAAGTAAGCTATCAGTTTGAGTAAATTTTTATTACATAGTTTCCAGAATTCCAGTATTAGCATAAATTATTAAAATCAACAATAAAGGCCTCCATTTCTCTGAGAAAGAAAAGAGCATGAAATTGTGTATTAAAAATCATTAAAATTACCTTAAGGTTCCGTTGATTTGAGTTGTTATAATTCGAATTTATTCTATTCATATGAGTTTACGAGTGAAATAGAAACACAGCAGGGGTTGTCGAATTGGTGGTAAAGAGTGTGTTCCAGTGAATTGAGTGGTAAAATAAGCAGTTGGTGGTTGGTAGAGATGTATACCTCAAGCAGGTCAAGCAGGTCTCAATTATATGAGTAGACAGAACAGAAAAAGTGGTGGTGCCGTACATCAAACTAACTTGATACTGTTGGTGTTGTTGAATATGGTAAAGTACTATGTTGTAATCGTCATGAGATAGTACGAGACATAGAGGCGTTGTTTTCAGCAAAATGAACGTAAGCCATCCATTTTACTTTGTTGGCAACGACTTTTTAGGAAGTTGAAGGTCTCTTAGTTGATTGGAAAGTTACTCTCCGGCTGGGCGTCCACTAATTGGAACAGGAAGTTCGTTTTCGAAATCTTAAAGGGAAGGGACAAAACTCGTCTCGAAAAATTTAGTGGAAGCCCAAAAAATGACGCAAAGTAGAAGGCAGAGGAAGAGGATATTCACCTTCGAAATATCCCTCAGGGTGACGTTTTGTTCGTCCGTTGTGATTATGATAGTATGTGAGGGTAATGTCTGGGTACCGTATGTTAGATTATATAATTGTGTTGTTATGATAGCGCCCTCTTTGACTTTTAATGTTGATAACCATTCTATGACTACAGTTCATGTCGGATTAAGAATGATCAAGCTAAGCAACTACGAATTGGCTCCAAGTATTCTTAGGATTATGGTGAATGTCGCTGATTCTCTTGTTATCATTGTAGTATATCCAACCCAAGAAACTTGGCAGTCAAAAAAAAGTTGAATAAATATCATTTGATGTACTCAATCCTCTTGTGTTTCGCTGCCAGTAACCGTTTCTCAACTTATGGCTTTTGGATGATTCCGAGGTTGGGTGGGATAATTGGAATTCCTGTGTAGTTTTAATTAAGTTTAATCATAGTTTTAAAACCTGAAACTTCATTATAATTTTTTATAATCCTTTAAAAAAATTCTAACACTGCTATTTACGCACATTTAAGTAATGCTTGTTCGATTTAATACCTATATCATCCTTGAAGTAGCAACCTTAAAAAATGTATACACTACAACTTGGTGTTTTAATTCCTTCGATACGGTTGTGGATGGTGTCGTCACGTTCAATTCGTTATCAACTACAACGTCGCACTTAGGAATTCGAGCGAGTTCACCTAACACATTGAATTGTAATAGATTAGATTAATATTACTAGGTGTAGGTTTGTATTGGGACATAGATAATATTGACCGTCTAACTTTAAGGTCAATATTACGCTTATATGGCATTTCTTGCATGTTTCACAATACTGTCACCAATTTGGGTGAGACCTCTTGTTTAACAAACTTTGAAGCCTTATTGATTATTTTGCTTATTGAAGTGCAACTATTAATGAAGAGGTTTTTGTTTTCCAGTATTGTTGGTTCTAAAATTCCTTTATTAATGATAACATTCAATTTTTAAAATTTCAGATATTTTTATGTTTTGTTATTGTTCCATCGAATAATATTTTTGAAAAAAACCCAACGCTTTAAAACAAATTGAATACTTTATTGAAATATAAACATAATTATACAATATATAAATAAATATTGCAAATTTGTGTTAATACCATTGTATCTCAGTATGTATTGCCAAAGTTTGACCTTATGCTGTAACACTCATGTATTCATACCACTGATCTTGCAACTATACAATCGTAAGGAAGAACTGCAGTACAAAATCAAATTCATCATCATAGGAGTATCTAGCCACTCTAAAAATATAAATGTTTACAAAGCGAAAATATTTATAAAGTTCATATATTAGTGTTCATAAAATTATTCATCATAATCATTAACCTCAGATTCACAACTCAACCAGTTCCTCGTCATCACTTACCCAATCAAACGACTTCGCAGCTAATTCTTCAACTTCTTGCTTAACCTTCTCTAAGCCACTGACTCTTTCCACTAGTAATGGATCAGCTAAAGCTTGTTTTAGGAATTCCCACCCTTGCTCTTGGCAAACTTCTATAATAGGTTTACTACATGCAGAACAATGTTCATAAGCAGGAGTCTCTAACTTTAATGTTGTGAAATTATTTAAAAACCCACGCAACTGATGCGGAACTTCACCAAGAACAGTTTTCTCTTCCGTAGATATATTGTTACGTTTTTCATCCTGCAGAATTGAAACAAATACTTCCACTGCTAATGATGAAGCCATTAAAGCCACACCAGGTCTTGTAACAGTACACATTTGGTCCAATGTTCTATCGCTTAAACTATCTGTTGGGGCAACTACATCGTTGCAAAAATAACAGCCCAATCTCTTTTCTGCATTACCATAATAGTTACCATGTCTCATCACCAGATAACTATCAAATCCAAGAGCTGCATTGATCACAATTTTATTTTCTATATTACCTAATACAGTCGGTAACCATCTAGTTTCTCTAGAATCCATAAGCAAAAAAATTGTGTCATGTTCTTTAATTAATTCCAGTAACTTCTCATAGTCCTTTTTAATATTTTCTTCATTAGAAACTACATGTCCAATCATCGGAATATTTAAAGTCACACCAGTAGCATCCATTAGTGGAAATATTCTTTTTAATGATGCCGCTGCTGCTTCAGCCTTTGATTTCCCCTCATCGTTAAATTCAAACAATGGTTGTCTAACCGGATTTGAGAACGAAACTGTACCATTATCAACCAATGTTAACTTTCGAACACCCCATGCCATTAAACTACGAGATACGTAGCAGCCTAATGTACCAGCACCTAAAATTAATACTTTCCTTTCCTTTATAACATCTAGATCAATGTCTGGCGCTATACGCCATTTCATTAGCTTCAGATTTAAATCAACAGATTGCCCTGCCACTTTTAAGGGATCAATTAATGTACTCAGGTCGATAGAAAGAGGAGCCAATCGTCCAAGTAAATTTTTTTCCCAGCCGCTTGTTTTTAATTTTGGAGTTACTTCATTATCAATGGAGGATAATTTTAATGACATCTGGAAACTTGAATCATCTTCTCTAACAAAATATACACTGATCTCTTTAACTTCTAGGTTTTGATATTTGAATATACTTAGAAAGTTTTTTGCTAGAGCTGAAGGTGTATTCTTCATTTTGCTTGTATCACGAATTAAAAGCTTTGAATTTTTATTAAAAGCATTCTTTGAGTAGGAACCAATTTCGCAATTACTATCTACAATGGATACCCATTGACTCCTATTATTGTTGAACCAATCTTGATACTTAGCACAATTTTCGATCTCAGTTACATTAGTACACGAGATTTCTAATGATTCCAATTGGAAATAAGGGAAGCATACCCAATATATAAATTTATATTTTTTCAAATCTGCAAAACTAATAACGTGGAAACTAACAGCCTTATTAATATCGTCCAATCCAGCTTCCCAACTTTCAATAGCCCTATCCTGTAAAAACTGATGTTTATCCAAATCTTTAAACCCTTCGATCTTATTAAAATTAAAGATTGATCCTATAACACTTGTTGAATTAGCATCTGAAATGCTATCTGGGTTAAAACTATTGCCATTAAAAAACAGATGAGAAGATTCACTTGACTTAGATGGTTCTACTTTAGAATATAATTTTTGCGCTTCTGAACTCAATTTAAACACTTCAAGTTTTAATCGAGACAGTTCTTGGAAGAATGATGTATCAAAGAAAGAGCGAAAAGCAGTAGAATATTTTACAGTAGACTCATTCATCCTTTAATAATAAATCATTAAATAACACTAAATACACTCAGAGATCAGTGACACTCATTGTTTCAAGACTGTTACCAACGATAAAATGCTACTTCTATTAAATCTATAAATTAAACCTTTAATTTTAAATATTAAAGGTAAGAATCGCCTATAGATATATACACAAATTTGGTCACGTGTATACTGTAGTTTCAATAGATTTACATAATTGATACAATGCTACCACCATGCAGTCGATTAAACTCATCAAAATTGCCAGTTGTTGTACATAAACATGTAGCTTTAATGAGATAGTCTTTTGAGGTCGAATGGACGTTTAGAATCAGCCATTGGCTTGAGCTGAGAATTTAAAAAGAGAGATGGCCTTTTAAATTACTATTTCAATAGAATTCTACTACTTCAAATTCATGTGAAAACATCACATCCATCTTAGAGTAATGGTGAATTGTATTTGATTATTTTTTACCCTTTTTACTACCGCTGAATAACAAACCAAACGTCTTCTTGGTAGTTTTTTTTGTTAGTGGTTCATCATCGTCACTACTCTCTTCATCTGCAGTTACCTGCAGCACCTGCTTTCCCTTTAATTGCTGTACCTTATTACCTGGTTTACCAATAGTTCCATTCAAGTCTGATTGACGTTTTTGTTGTATCTGTCCTTGTCTCATCTTCCTTTTTAATGAAATCATCGCTTTGGTATCATCTTTGGCAACCCTATATATGCTCCTTCTCTCAGATATACCATCTAATTTCCTCTTTTGTTTAGATAATGTGCTAACCTTCTTATCACTATTGATAAAATCACCTACTGTATTAATATCATTAGCATTTTCTTCATTATCTTCAGAATTCAAATTCAGATTCAAACCAGATCCAGTTTGTACTACAGGTAAATGATAAAATAGGTTTCTATCACTATCAATCACCACATTATTGTTAGCCTTAGCAGCACCATTTCCAACTTCTTTCTCTGAATCATTTAGCCATCCTAAAACCTTTGAAGTATTATTACTGAAGGAAAGTTGCAATTTTGCTTGCAAGTCCAGCTTTTCCTGTATTTCTTTGGCCCTAGACATACCAAATACCAAATAAATCAACTATATCTCAACTCTAATTGCACTAGATCACCTCTTTATCAATTTCAAAACCTTCTTCTCATCTCATCGACTTGTTCAAATTGTCACTACAAATTTTTTTATACTTATTAACATACAAATTTGACCATTTACATAGTTAAGAGTTGACGCGCTACCAAAAAAGCCTGATTTTGAAATCAATGCACTGGTCTTTGATGACTTTTACCATGAAGAAACAGATAAATAGAGAGTCAACACTATTGCTACATCATCCAATTCCTATATATATATATATATTTACATGTTAGAGTGATATGAGGGGATTTGTACAAAATTTAATGCATATATTTGTGATAAAAATGCTATGATTGAGGATTTGGTCTTTTGGCACATTCTGACATTTTGAATATCAATTCGTCAATATTTTCGTTATTCAACGCACTTATGGGTATGGAATCCCAGCCTTTACTGTCACAGTATTCTTTTATATTGAGGTACTTCTGGATTGAATTAGGATCATTAGCTGCAATGTCAGCTTTATTACAGACAACAAGGATATTTTTTTTCTTAATTTTTTCTGGTCCACCCAATTCATTAATCAACGTATGAAGTTGGTTCAATGGTTCATCTTCTTCCAAACTGATTACCATGACCCAACCAGTGGATCTTTCTATATGTCTAATAAATTCCAGACCCATACCTTTATCTTGAGATGCGCCTTCAATTATTCCAGGAATATCAGCTACAGTAAAAGAAGGTTTATCGATTCCGAGAGAAATTGTTCCTACTGTTGGAAACAAAGTGGTGAACTTCCAATGGCCAATTCTGGGTTTGGAATTTGAAATTCTATTCAATATAGTCGATTTACCGGCGTTTGGAAGACCGACTAAACCCAGGTCAGCGATTGTCTTTAATTCAAACAGAAAATATTCGCTCAGTCCGTCTCTACCACTTTTAGCAAATCTTGGATTTCTAATTACCTGTGTTAAGAAATGCATATTACCAAGGCCACCTTTACCACCTTTCAAAAGACATAATGGTTTATTCATTGGTTTATCCAAGTCTATTCCAAATATAGGGAACCTATCATTGTTCAACTCAGATTTTCCCAATGAATAATCATAAGCCTTCACTTTTCTGTTAAGATCCTTGAACCAGTCTTTGCCGTTATGATATTCATCCGGTTTTCCCTTAAATAGCCAACCTTCTCCTGGTTTATATGAACTTCTAAATAGTTGAATATGTTCAGGCACCTTATCGAATTTTCTCTTACCAACACACTGTATTTCTTTCTGGCAAGATTGTAAAAATGACTTTAAAGGCAACTCTTTTTCTTCTGGCGTTCTCTCCCTTAGTAACGCTCTTACCACACCTGGATCCAGGCACCAACGTATTACTGTCCCGACAGGAACCTTAATCAAAATATCTCTTCCTCTTGCACCATGTAACTGGTCACCAGCACCATCAGAACCTTCTGAAGCCAAGTAGCTACTTTTCAACTTGGCCAATGAGTTCATACCTTCAACAGCTTGAACATATATAGAGCCACCATCACCACCATCACCGCCATCTGGAGGACCAATTGCTCTACCAGCATCCCTGTAAAAAGAGACAACACCATTACCACCTTGCCCACTACTACATTTAATGATTCTTGTATCAACAAACCCACCTTGTTGAAGTTTGTTCTTAGAATTATGAAGATAATTGACATTGGTGAAATTATTTAGAGATGCCTTGACATTAATATACTTCGAATCTGGTGGAATTGACGTAACCTGATATGGGAATTCAGAACTAAAATTTATAAATTCAGTGAACGCATTAGAACGACTGCTAGATACATCATCAAAATGGGATGGTGAGTGTTCCATCTGATATAAATGTTCTAACCATGCTTGATTATCAGCAACTGAAGGAGGACTAGCTGGAAACTTGTAACTGATGCCACTGTTGGTCCTTCTAAAAAAGCTATACCTCGAAAGAGAACCACCACCTCGATAACAGACACTCATCGTTGACTGGTCTATCGATATCCTCTTTACTTTATTGGAATCTGTTTGAACAATTTGTCATAGCACTTAAATATAGTGAAGTTACGTTAATTGGAAAAAAAGCCTTTAACTATTAGCGATGAGCTTAAAACAGTTATTAGAATCCAATCTATGAAGGTATTGTAATTAATTATACAGGTTATTATAATATATTGATGTAGTAAATAAATATATATATATATATATATATGTGTGTGTAGTTGATTGACTATGTTATTTGTTACTTGTGGAAGTTTATTTCTTTTGTCATTGTGAATGTCATTGATTAATTTTGTTCTTTTATTGAAGTCAAAGCTTTTGCTCTTAAACTCTCTATATTTTTCATCATTCTTTTCATTGAGTTTGGACCATCTCCAAACATCAGCATCTCCATATTGTCCCATTCTTTCCTCCAATAATTCACTTCTTTGCTCAATTCGTTTAATGTAGGTTGTAAGGAGAATTTATTTTTAATAGTTAATTCTGCACGTTCCATCTTGATTTCGTTTAAATATTTATCTAATTCATCACGTAAAACCGATGTCTCTGAGGATTCAGTAATATATTTCTTTAGGACATCCTGCACTTCAACAGGAGCAGCCACTTCATCCACCATTATCACTTCATTATCTTTAAATTGAGCGTCTTCGACTTGAATGAATAAATCAGACGCCAATCGTTCCAACAAATTAATGTAAACAAGCATATCCTGATTCACAGTCTCCACCAAAGCGAAATAATCCTGATATTGGGATACTTCATTGACCAATTTCTGGTCATTATTGCCCTTTTGCATCTTCACTTGAGCCTCTCGAGTATTATATTTTCCAAATTTCAAATCAATTAAAGACCCATTCAACTTGCCACAACCAGAAGCAAGCCCCCTAATCAACTCAAGCTGTCTCTCTTCACTACATCCATCGTCCAACAACCCTTCCAGACCTTCTAGAACCTCTACCAAGTCCTCATAGTTACTCTCTAAATATTGTTCCTGAGAGCAAAGAGATTCAAAATAATCTTCACCTAAATCTCTAGAACCCTCCATAATAATCTACAAAACCCAAAGTCAAACCACCAGAATCACGTAAACCTAACAATAAAGACCCAATCTCACTTTCCTGGCTCTTATCCCAACATATATCTATTAACTGTGTACCTATTATAAATGAACTTTCGATTCGAAACTACTTAAAGCTTTTAAATCAAGATATCCGAAAGGTCATCTCGAAATGATGTTTAAAAGAATCTATAACACATGAGAATACAAAATAGAACTGGAAGATAAGACTTCAATTAGTTTATTTTTTGAGATTTGGTGTATGCGTTGGATAAGTCAGTGTTCTTACAATGAGTCAAGAGATCCAGTGGGTAGTTGTTAGAGATATACGGAATAATTTGAGGGTTTCCTCGAAGGAATTGTGTGAATTGAAGTTATACAAGTCTAGTAAATGGTCATCAGAGGCATTATGTGGTATGGTTCATTTGCCAGAGGGTCGAAGGTTATCTGGTGGTGGTGTTGGTGATGATGGGTATGAATCGCCTTTGAAAAGTAGGAAGAATCATGATGGAAACGTTTGTGGAGTATTTGAAGGGAGTTCTAGATGTCTTTCTAATCAATTGACGCCAGAAGAGTACGATCTGTATCTTTTGGGGTCTTCTCTGTTCGATTGCAAAGAGTTTGATAGGTGTTCTTATTTTTTGAAAGAAGTTAGTAATCCAAAGTTGAAATTTTTGAAATTATACTGTGATTATCTTTCTTGGGATAAAAAATCTCAGGAAAAGATGGAAAGTCTATTGACTACAGGGAAGATTCCTTCTTCGAAAAACAATGATGATCAGGATAATGATAGAAATAATGATTCTATAATCAATTTTCAATTGGAGAGGAACTCTCAGAATGTTTCCATGGGAGATGGCCATGTTACTAGTGTTTCAGTGATTTTAAATGAGTTGAACACTTATCTAAATGAATTTAAATTGAAGAATAGAAAAGAAAGTGAATATGAAAAAATGGGTTTAGGTATAGCATTGCTATATTATTTACGTGGGATATTGGAAAAGGCAGAAAATAACAAATCACAAGCTATGTCATCTTTTTTAAAATCATTATCAATATATTCATTCAACTGGGCTTGTTGGCTCGAATTATCAGACTGCATAACAAGAGCAGACGAATCATTATTACTTTTAAAATACTTGAGCGAGAGATTCACTCTAGATGGCACATACAATTATGGTGCTCAACAGGATACGAAGCAAAATGTGCTGATAAAATTTTTTAAATTAAACTTATTTCAAGAGTTCAATGGGAACCTTGATGAATTTATCGACGATTTGGAATATTTACTGGGAATATTCCCTAATTTTTCATATCTGAAGGCTCAAAATGCTTTGATAAATTATAATTATATGGATTATTTGAATTCTGAACAATTATTTGAACAGATTATAAAAGCAGATCCGTATCGTTTAGATGATTTGGACGTATACTCAAATATCCTTTACGTCATGCAAAAGCATCCCAAACTATCATATTTGGCCCAATTCTCATCACAAGTGGACAGATTCCGTCCAGAAACTTGTTGTATTATAGCTAATTACTACAGTGCCAGGCAAGAGCATGAAAAATCGATAATGTATTTTAGACGAGCATTGACATTAAATAAAAAAAATACCAGTGCATGGACATTGATGGGTCATGAATTTGTAGAGCTGAAAAATTCACAAGCTGCTATTGAATGTTATAGACGAGCGGTTGATATCAATCCTAGAGATTTTAAAGCATGGTATGGTTTAGGGCAAGCATACGAAGTGCTGGATATGCATCTGTACTCTTTATATTATTTCCAAAAGGCATGCACTTTGAAACCACTGGATAAACGAATGTGGCAAGCACTAGCTAGTTGTTACGCAAAAGTAGGGAACATTAGAGATTCAATTAAATCCTACGAAAGGGCTCTGCAGTTATCATTAAATGCTGACCAAGACTCAACATTACTATACAGACTTGCTGAGCTCTATGAACAAATTCATGATGTAGAAAGTTGTAAGAATTTCATGATAAAATGTGTCGAAATTGAAAAGGCTACTGAAGGGATGGTAACAGAAGAAACAGCAAAGGCACATCTCTGGCTGGCAAGATATGAAATGAAACGGAGAAATTATGAAGAAGCATATAACTACGCGGTTGGTGTCTCTCATGGGACATCGCAAGATATAGAAGAAGCTAGAGCAATCACCAGAGACTGCAGAAGAAGGCTACAATGAAACAAAACCTCACAAATAGCATTGCAATAAACTTCTGCAATTATTCCAGATATTATATAGCATCAAATCAATAGATATAGTGGTTTTAATACATAATTATAGGATTATTTCAATTCACCAATTTGTTCGTGTAGAACTGGGGCAATTGAAAGAAGACTTACCAAACTGTAACTGAAGAAGAATAATGTTCTCTTTCAGGATATTAAGGTTTTCTTCAGAGTATAAATAAGAGGAAAACACCAGACAGTTAAATATCCTCCACTAGATGGTTAACTTTATAAGGTAACAAAGGTAACCAACTTAACGTCTCTATTATACTAACTGGTGAAGTCACGTGTACAAGCTATTTAATATACCACGCCACGCGGTGTTACCCTGCTTTCCGTCTAACTTATTATTCGTAACCTTCAAAATTTATATTCATTCAATACGCGGTAACCTCATCTACAGATTGAAAGCTATAAGGAAGAAGATGATTTAAATAATTGGTGATGAGGTTTGGAAAAAGCTGAATTAAAACAGTTAACAAGAGTCTAAGGTTTATCGAACTTGCTAGATCCGATAAGTGGACAATATAGTTTCTGATTCCGAGAGTTTGTTATGGCTGGATTTCCACCTGTTCCTCCACCTCCGCCTCCAGGGTTCGATTCAGAAGAAGAGGATAATAATGGGTTTTTCCCACCACCACCTCCACCACCTCCAGGTTATATTGAAGATGGTGGAAACGATGATGCTGTTCCACCCCCTCCACCACCATTGGGATTCGATGGTGATGAATTCTTACCTCCTCCACCACCTCCTCCAGGATCCCAAGAAGATGATATCCTACCACCACCACCACCACCTCCTCCAATTGAAGATCATGAGGGTTCATTTCTTCATCCACAAACTCCAGAGGTATCAGTTGGAAAGAAACATAAGATTAGTGAAGACGAATACATATCTCGCAAGAGTTTGAAGAACGCCAAAAAGCTTAAGAAAAGAAGAAAAATGGGCCTTTCCCATTCACATAAAGTGGACATGCCACCGGAGCATTTAAGAAAGATAATAGAGAATCATACCGATATGGTATCCAAAAGATACAACTACGATAAGCGTGCATTTTTGGGTGCTTTGAAATATATGCCCCATGCCATCCTAAAATTATTAGAAAATATGCCACAGCCTTGGGAACAAGTCAAAGAAGTGAGAGTCTTATACCATACTACGGGGGCTATAACGTTTGTTAATGAAATTCCAAGAGTAATCGAACCTGTTTATACAGCCCAATGGTCGACGATGTGGATTGCAATGAGAAGAGAAAAACGTGATAGAACCCATTTCAAGAGAATGAGGTTTCCTCCATTTGATGATGATGAACCTCCTCTTTCATACCCTAATAATATACAATCAATAGAACCTTTAGATCCAGTAGCATTGAATTTAGATAAAGTAGAAGATAAAGAAGTTATAGATTGGATATACGATCCCAGGCCACTGGAACATGATCCCAAAAAAGTTAATGGCACATCATACAAGCAATGGCGCTTAGATCTTCCTATAATGTCAAATTTGAATAGACTAGCAGCACCGCTGAAAGATAACATCACAGATAATAATTATTACTACTTATTTGACAGAAAAGCATTTTTCAACTCAAAAGCTTTAAACAACGCTCTTCCTGGTGGACCAAAATTCGAACCTCTGTACCCTCCAGAAGAAGATGAAGACTATAGTGAATTTAATTCCATCGACAGAATAATTTTCAGAAATCAGATACGGACTGAATATAAGATTGCATTCCCACATTTATACAATTCAAGACCACGTTCGGTAGAGTTGAACTGGTATCACGATCCTTTATCATGTAATATTGAACTTGATGATGAGAACAAAAATGATGGATTTGTATTTGACCAATCATTAAACCCAATAATATCACAATACACTGATAAAAATTTTAATAGAATCGATAATGTTTGTACTGGTGGGTCTGAATTACGATTACCAGCAACATTTTCGCCATTACTGACAGATGAAGATTTAGTTATCGACAATGTAAATGATGCATTTGAATTATATAGTGCAACTTATCCGTTTAACCTGAGATCAGGTAGAATGGTAAGAGCACAAGACGTACCTTTGGTAAAACAGTGGTATTTACAACATCCTGATGAAAATTATCCAACTAAGGTAAGGATATCCTATCAAAAGTTACTGAAGAATTATGTCAAGAATGAACTTAAATCTGACAAAAATCCAAATAAAACGAAAGTAAAGTTATTAAAAAGTTTAAGGAATACCAAATATTTCCAACAAACTACCATTGACTGGGTTGAAGCAGGTTTACAGGTTTGCCGCCAAGGTCATAATATGCTTAATTTATTGATTCATAAAAGAGGATTAACGTATCTTCATTTGGACTATAATTTTAATTTAAAACCAACGAAAACGTTGACAACTAAGGAACGTAAAAAATCTAGATTTGGTAATGCATTTCATTTAATGAGAGAGATTTTAAAAGTGACTAAACTCTTAGTGGATTCTCATGTTCAACATAGACTAGGAAATGTAGATGCGTATCAATTGGCAGATGGTATATACTATATTTTAAACCATCTCGGTCAATTAACGGGTATCTACCGTTACAAGTACAAGGTTATGCATCAAATTCGAGCTTGTAAAGATTTAAAGCATGTTATTTATTATCGTTTTAATAAGGTGATCGGAAAAGGTCCCGGATGTGGGTTCTGGCAACCAGCTTGGAGAGTTTGGCTATTTTTTCTAAGGGGTATCATTCCTTTATTAGAAAGATGGATAAGCAATCTGCTTTCCCGTCAATTTGAAGGTCGTTCAAATGAAATCGTGAAAAATACTACCAAGCAAAGAACGGATGCTTACTATGACTTAGAATTAAGGGCTGCAGTTATGAATGATATTTTAGATATGATTCCCGAGGGAATCAGACAAAGTAAAGCTAGAACAATTTTACAGCATTTAAGTGAAGCATGGAGATGTTGGAAAGCAAACATTCCGTGGGAAGTGGCAGGTATGCCACTTCCAATCAAAAATATAATTGAAAGATATATAAAAGCCAAAGCTGATGGTTGGGTTTCAGCAGCACATTATAATAGAGAACGTATAAAACGTAATGTTCATGTTGAAAAGACAGTTGTAAAGAAAAATCTAGGTCGACTAACAAGATTATGGATAAAGAATGAGCAAGAAAGACAACAGAAGATAGTAAAGAATGGACCAGAAATTACTCCGGATGAAGCCACTGCTATCTTTTCAACCATGGTAGATTGGTTAGAGTCCAGGGACTTTTCGCCAATACCTTTCCCACCAATTGCATATAAAAATGACACCAAAATTCTGGTACTTGCATTAGAAAATTTGAAGGATGTATATGCCTCAAAAGTTCGCCTAAATGCCTCTGAAAGAGAAGAATTAGCGTTAATTGAAGAGGCCTATGACAACCCACATAACACTTTGAATAGAATAAAGAAGTATTTATTAACACAAAGAGTTTTCAAGCCTGTAGATTTGTCAATGATGGAACATTATCAATCAATTCAACCTGTGTTTACAGTCGATCCATTAGAAAAAATCACAGACGCTTATTTGGATCAATATTTATCCTATGAGGCGGATCAGAGGAAGCTTTTTCCAAATTGGATTAAACCAAGTGACGCAGAGATTCCACCACTGTTAGTTTATAAATGGGCACAGGGAATCAATAATGTATCTGATGTATGGGATATTTCAAGAGATCAATCAACTGTATTATTAGAAACCACCTTACAAGACATAACGGAAAAGATAGATTTCACTTTACTAAATAGATTATTAAGATTGGTTCTAGATCCTAATATTGCTGATTATATGACATCCAAAAACAATGTTATTATTAATTATAAAGACATGAGTTATGTAAACAAATATGGACTGTTACGCGGTTTACAATTTGCTCCTTTTATTTATCAATTCTATGGGTTGATGATTGATCTATTGATTTTAGGAAAAGAGAGAGCTACTGATTTAGCAGGATCTCCAACATCCCCAAATGAATTTATGCAATTTCAAAGTGTTGAAGTTGAAAAGAGACACCCAATTAGGCTATACACAAGGTATTTTGATAAAATCCATATTTTGTTCCATTTTGAAGAACAAGAATCCTCATCTCTTGTGAATGAGTTCTTATCTGAAAATCCAGATCCTAACTTCGAAAATTCAGTTGGTTACAATAACAAGAAGTGCTGGCCAAGAGATTCACGTATGCGTCTCATGAGGCAAGACGTTCAGTTGGGGAGAGCTGTATTTTGGGAAATACAGGGCAGAGTACCAGCTTCATTAGTCAATATCAATTGGGAAAATTCATTTGTCTCAGTTTATGGTAAAGATAATCCAAACCTTCTGTTATCTATGTGCGGATTTGAAGTTCGGATTTTACCAAGAAGTCGTACTAACGATGTCCTATCAACAGATGAAGGTGTTTGGGATTTAATGAACGACAATACCAAGCAACGTACTGCAAAGGCGTTTTTGAAGGTTTCCGAAGAGGAGATAAAGAAGTTTGAAAGTACAATTAGAGGTCTTTTGATGTCAGCTGGATCTACAACATTTACAAAAATAGCTGCTAAATGGAATACATCGTTAATTGCTCTATTCACATACTTTAGAGAAGCGATTGTAGCAACTGAACCGTTGCTAGATATCCTTGTGAAGGCTGAGACAAGAATTCAAAATAGGGTCAAATTAGGATTAAACTCTAAAATGCCAACCAGGTTTCCACCAGCTGTTTTTTACACACCAAAAGAGCTAGGAGGTCTGGGTATGATTAGTGCTTCTCACATCTTAATCCCAGCTTCCGATTTAAGTTGGTCGAAACAAACAGATACAGGTATTACCCATTTCAGAGCCGGTATGACCCATGAAGAAGACAGAATTATTCCAACAATTTTCCGTTATATTACAACCTGGGAAAATGAGTTCTTAGATTCTCAAAGAGTTTGGAATGATTATGCCGCCAAACGTCAAGAAGCGATGCAACAGAATAGAAGATTAGCATTTGAAGAATTAGAAGGGTCCTGGGATAGAGGTATACCTAGAATTAGTACATTATTCCAAAAAGATAGACATACATTGGCCTACGACAGAGGACATCGTGCCCGTAGAGTATTTAGAAAGTATTCTCTTGAAAGGGTTAACCCATTTTGGTGGACGAACTCTCATCATGATGGTAAATTATGGAATTTGAATAATTATCGTACTGATGTAATTCAATCATTGGGTGGTATTGAAACCATCTTAGAACATACTCTTTTTAAAGGTACTGGATTTAATTCATGGGAAGGTCTGTTTTGGGAGAAAGCGTCTGGTTTTGAAGATTCTATGCAGTTCAAAAAATTGACACATGCTCAAAGAACTGGTTTAAGTCAAATTCCAAATCGTCGTTTCACGTTATGGTGGTCCCCAACAATTAATAGAGCTAATGTCTATGTGGGGTTTTTAGTTCAACTAGATTTAACTGGTATTTTTTTACATGGTAAGATACCGACACTAAAGATATCTTTAATTCAGATTTTCAGAGCTCATCTATGGCAGAAAATCCACGAAAGCATTGTTTTTGACATTTGCCAGATTCTAGATGGTCAACTAGATATTCTGCAAATAGAATCCGTGAGAAAAGAAACTGTACATCCTAGGAAATCATATAAAATGAATTCTTCTGCTGCTGATGTTACTATAGAAAGTTTATATCAATGGGAAGTATCCAAACCTTCTCTTTTAGGGTCATCAAATGACAAATATGATAGAGCGGTAACCAACAAAATGTGGTTTGATGTACAATTGCGTTATGGTGATTATGATTCACACGATATATCTAGATATGTACGTGCAAAGTTTTTGGATTATACCACCGATAACGTAAGTTTATACCCATCACCAACTGGTATAATGATTGGTATCGATCTAGCCTACAATATGTTTGATGCTTATGGTAATTGGTTTAATGGATTAAAACCACTAGTTCAAAATAGTATGAGAACTATTATGAAAGCCAACCCTGCATTATACGTATTACGTGAACGTATTAGAAAAGGGCTACAAATTTATCAATCTAATGTTCAAGAACCATTTTTGAATTCTTCCAATTATGCAGAACTGTTTAATAACGATATTAAGCTATTTGTCGACGATACTAACGTTTATAGAGTTACTGTTCATAAAACTTATGAAGGTAATGTTGCAACAAAGGCTGTAAATGGATGTATTTTTACTTTGAATCCTAAAACAGGTCACCTATTCCTAAAAATCATCCATACCTCTGTGTGGGCTGGACAAAAGAGATTAAGTCAGCTGGCGAAGTGGAAAACTGCTGAAGAAATAAGCGCTTTAATCCGTTCATTGCCCAAGGAAGAACAACCAAAGCAAATAATTGTCACAAGAAAAGCGATGTTAGATCCATTAGAAGTGCACATGCTTGATTTCCCAAATATCTCAATTAGACCAACCGAATTGAGACTTCCATTCTCTGCATCCATGTCAATAGACAAGCTATCTGACGTTGTAATGAAGGCTACAGAACCACAGATGGTACTTTTCAATATATATGACGATTGGTTGGATAAAATTTCCTCATATACAGCATTTTCCAGATTAATATTGCTTTTGAGAGCTCTTAAGACAAATGAGGAGAAGGCCAAATCAATTTTGCTTGCAGATCCAACTATTCAAATTAAGCCACATCATTTATGGCCTTCATTTAATGACGAGCAATGGATAGATATAGAATCAAAAATGCGTGATCTGATCTTAACTGAATACGGGAAGAAGTATAATGTAACTATTTCTGCATTAACACAAACTGAAATCAAGGACTTGATTTTAGGTCAAAATATCAAGGCACCATCGGTTAAACGTCAAAAGATGGCTGAATTAGAAGCTGCCAGAGCTGAACAAAATGAACAAAATGCTTCTAATGCAACAACAGTAATGAAGACAAAGAGTGTAAATGCTCAAGGTGAGGAAATTGTTGTTGTAACATCGACTAATTACGAAAACCAAGAATTCGATTCGAAGAATGATTGGAGAGCTGCTGCAATTTCCAATAGTTTGTTACACTTACGTTTAAAAAATATATATGTGTCTTCTGATGATTTTATTGAAGAAAAAGATGTTTATGTTTTACCAAGAAATCTATTGCAAAAATTTGTAGAAATTGCTGATGTGAAAAGCCAAATTGGTGGTTTCATATATGGGAAATCACCCGAAGGACACCCTAAGATAAAGGAAATCCGAACAGTTGTATTGGTTCCTCAGATTGGTACCTCAAAAGGTATAGAAATGGGCAAATTACCAGATCGTAATATTTATCCTAACCTCCAAGATTTAGACCTGCTGGGTTGGATCCATACGCAAAACGAAGATACAAAATTTATGGATGCTTCCGAAGTCACAACACACTCAAAGATATTTGGACTCGAAAGACAAAACTGCATTGACCTCTCGGTTGCATTAATTACTGGTTCTGTATCTTTAAATGCCTTCAATCTTAACGAAGAAGGTTATCAATGGGGTTTGCAAAACGTCGATTTGATTAATGAAATGCCAGAAGGTTTCGAACCAACATTCAGTGAACATGCACAACTACTATTGTCCGATAGAATAATGGGTAACTTTATGACCCCTGCCTCTGAGATTTGGAATTACTCAATGCTATCCGCCAGTTTCCATCCAGATCTAGATTATGAATATAGGATTAATATACCAATAGAATTCTATAATGAACTACATCGCTCAACCCATTTCATGCAATTTAACGAGCTAGCTGGAGATGAAGAACTAGAGGCTGAGCAACAAGATCTCTTCTCATAGATCGATCTCAAATTTCTCCTTTTGAATTTTATATTGACTCTACACATTCACCAAACAATTATTAATTTTTTATATACGCAGATATCGATAGATTAGATTATAATTTCATTTTTAATAGAATCAAGCAATTCGTAATATATAGACAACAATATATCAATTACATATCAAATTAATTATACTTTAGAGCCTCTGTTTACTATTACTACTGTCAGTTTGTCACTTCTTGTCTTGATTATGGCAAAAGCTTAAATAATGTGCGATGAGCTTAAAATCTTTTAATATTCAAGCGAACAATGCATAAGAATATGTATAACAAAATCAGATCTATCGGTTGAAGTTTTAAGAGTAGTTGCAAGAAAGGTAGGAATACTGTGGGTATTTAGGGACTAGTTCATAGATTTCATCGACGGTATTAATATCTATATCTATACCTATGCCAAGCACTCCAGAGAGAAAGGGATCAAAGCGTGAAGCTAGTTCTCCATTGGTGGCAGTAAAAGGAAACTCACGAAGAGTTTCTGCAGCTGGTAAAGGTCCAGTGATTGGTGAAAAAAAACGTGTCAAGAAGTATCATTTTGCTCCAGTCAATAATCTAGATCCATCTGTAAAGAGTAATGGCTCAGTTTTACAATCAATATCAGTTTCACAAATTCGAAATACAGCTGTAACAAAAGATACATCTTCTCCCTTAAAAGCACCATTCCTTCCCAAACAGAAGAAGAAGATATTGACACCAGTGAAAACCATAGAGAATATAAGACCAGATTACAAAAGTTTAGAAAAGAGTGAATTCAAGCCTACTCAAGAAGTTATTTGGAAGTATTCCCCTGATCGAAAGGTGAACGTTAATGAAAAATTAGCAAGCTCTCAAGATTACTCAGATCCAGTAAGTTTTGAAAATGCAGAGCAGACAATTTCTTCAACTCCAATTATTCCAAATAGATTAAAAAGTATTATAAATTTTAACAATATGAACGATAAAGAGTCTGTGGACATCCAATCCACAATCACTACCACATCTATGTTGCGTAATGAATCTTTAGAGGTCAAATCAATGAGAGGTAATAAAGCTGATGCTTTTAGAGATATTGAAGAAATTCTATGTGATATAGAAGGAAATGTGAACACTAAGCTAAGAATTTCTTCTCCACCTGATGTACCATCTTCACCTACCGAATTAGAACATTTAACACAGATAGAAACAGACCCAAGCATAATTGTTGATGAACTGGTAAATAGATTGGAGGAAAAGAAAGATTTGGAAGAGATTAAAGAGAGTAAAGAGAATTGTAATTCTTTCGATGCTGCAAGGCAAGAATCAAATATAGTAAATATAGAAGCAACAGATATCGAAGACGAAGACTTGGATAATGAAGAAGATGATTCATTAATAGAAATATTAACACAAAAGTCAAGTAAAATAAGTGGTAGTTACAAGGATGATCTGAAAGAAGATGAAACGGAATGTCAAGCAAAAACTATTATAGAGGAGGAAGAGAATGAAGATGATGATTCTCTTTTGGACTATCTCGACTACGGAGAGGAAATTATTACAAATCAACCAGAACACAACAAGTCATCTGGGAATGCTCAAACCCTCTCAATGGATGAGTTATTAGCTTCTGCAAAAACATCTGTTAAGAGGAACGGTGTAGTTAGACTTGTTATTCAAAGTTTACGAGAATCCACAGTTCCAAATGTTGGCAAGCAGAAGATATTAACATGTGTAGATGCAGAAGGTGAAACTTCTTCTGTAATTATAAGGCACCCGTGGGTATATCTGGAGTTTGAAGCGGGTGATATAATTCATATAATCGAAGGTAAACATTCTGAGAATAAAAGATTGTTATCCGATGATAAACATCCTAAGACACAATTAATAAATGATAATTTATTGATTCTTAATCCAGATATATTGCTTTCAGCTACAATTGTGGGTAATTCAATCGAATGCCTTCGTCGTGCTGTTTTACAATCAATTGTACAAGATTCTAGAGGTGAACCGGATATATCAATGATATTAGGAACAATAATACATGAATTAGTACAGGATGCCTTACGATATAAGGTTGAAAATAATAAGTTATCCGCGGAATATTTAGAAAATACTTTGGATTTGTTGTTAGAGGAACATTCATTTTCAATTTTACTCTGCAATTGCTCAATAACCGACATAAAACAAAGAATTATGAATGAGCATTTCGAAAATATTATGAAATTTATAAATAATATTGTTCAAAAGAGTAATTACGGGAAATATGTTAGCATATCTGGTACTAGACAGAAGAAACCAATCTCTCTATCAAACGTGTTCGACATAGAAGAAAATATTTGGTCAACCGTGTATGGATTGAAAGGCTTCATTGATGCAACAGTTGAAGCTCATGTTGAAAGCGACTACTTTGTTGCACCCTTGGAGATAAAGACAGGTAAGGCAAAAAGTGTCTCTCATGAAGCGCAAGGGCTTATCTATACATTGCTATTAACTGATAAATATGAACTACCTGTCAAGTTTTATTTATTATTATACACTCGGTACAATGACTTAACAAGCTATACCAGATCTATAGCTACATTAAAACATGTTTTGATGTTTAGAAATCAAATGTCAATTCGGTTAAAATATAGATTAAACGAGATAAACTCCAAAACTAGCTTTAAAATGACTTTACCTCCTATTTTAAGAGGTTCATTCTGTGACACATGCTACATGAAATCTGAATGCATGGTTTTGAATAAGTTATTAGAAGATGGAACCTCTACCGAGGCTGGATTGAGGGATGGCGAGTATGAAATACTAACAAACCATCTAACTAAGAATCAAGAAAGATACAAGGAATTTTTTATGAAATATAATGACTTAATTACAAAAGAAGAGTCCAGTTTGACATGCATGAACAAGGAAATGTTTTTGCTGGATAGCACAACCAGAGAAAGCATTAGTGGAAGGTGTATTTCTAATTTAATAGTAGCTGAGTACCCTAGTAATAAAGCTAGTGAAGGAAAGTTCTTATATGAGTTCAAGAGGTCGCAAGATGCAAAAAGCTCTATTTCAATGTTGAACTCTCATCTGACAAACAATGATTTAGTTTATATTAGTGATGAGAAGGGTCATTTTGCAATTTGCGATGGCCGTGTTTCATCAATATCGAAGTCCTCAATAGTAATATCCACAAGTAAGAGATTGCTGGATAATAATATTATCCTAAATGGAAACCAAGTAAAAGGCATTACTAATGTTCCTCAGAAAGTTGCCGATAACAGCTTGTCCTCAAGAAATAATACCATGACTTATAGGATTGACAAAAACGAACTCCAATCCGGATTGGCTTTGGCAAGAGCTAACTTACTAAATTTGTTTCTACCACCGGTTGACACCACTGAAGTAATAATAGATGAAAAAACAGGTAACTCTAGAAATCTAAAAGAATCAGAAGGGGGTAATGCCAGATTACGTTCGATTATAGTAGATTGTAAACCTCCTAGTTTCAAAAAAGATGGGGAGAAGCCCATCATACCTTACACAATTGAGAAAGATTTGTCATTCAATGAGGATCAAATTAATGCTATTGATAAAGTAATGAGAGCATATGATTACTCATTAATTTTGGGTATGCCAGGTACAGGTAAAACTACTGTTATAGCCGAAATTATCAAGATTCTAGTAGCAAATAAGAAGACAATTCTACTTACCTCGTACACTCATTCAGCTGTAGATAATGTTTTAATCAAAATGTCGAATACCAACATGAATATCATTCGTTTAGGTTCTAAGCAAAGAGTCCATCCAGAGTCTCAGAAGTATACATTGGATTATGATTCGATTGATAATTATGAACAATATTTAGAGGTAATTAACTCTGCTTCTGTTGTTGCAACAACTTGTTTGGGTATAAATGATGTCATGCTTACAATGAGAGAAAAGGATTTCGATTATGTGATCCTTGATGAAGCTAGCCAAGTCTCCCTTCCTGTAGCCTTAGGTCCATTAAGGTTTGGTAGAAAATTTATATTAGTTGGTGACCATCACCAATTACCTCCATTGGTTAAAAATGAAGCCGCACGTTTAGGAGGATTAGAAGTGTCTCCATTTCAAATGCTATGTCAAAAATTTCCAGAATCGGTGTCATCATTGAGATACCAATATAGGATGTGTGAGGACATTGTGAAATTATCGAACTTTTTAGTTTATGAAAATCAATTAATGTGTGGTACTGAGAAGGTCAAAAACCAAGGTTTAGAGGTACCAAATCCAGATAATCTAAATTTATTTCATATACCAGGAAAACACAACTGGCTTGAGAATGTCATTAGCCCACAAAATAAAGTTATTTTCTTGAACTATGATAACTGTAAGACCATCGTTGAAAACTCTGATACTGATAATATTACCAATGAAGGAGAGGTTAATTTAGCTTATCAGTGTGTAAGAGCTTTCACCAATTCAGGTATCTCAACCAAGAATATTGGCGTGATGTCTTTGTACAGAGGCCAAATTAGACTTTTAAAGAGGAAGTTTGAGAAAGAAAGGTATTCAAAATTAGAGATTTTAACTGCTGATCAGTTCCAAGGGCGTGATAAAGATTGTATAATAATATCATTAGTTCGTCGTAATAATGAATTAAATGGAGGTTCTTTATTGAAGGAATTAAGAAGAGTCAATGTAGCAATGAGTCGAGCTAAATCGAAATTAATTATTATTGGATCTAAGACGACTATTAGAAGTGTCATAGAATTACAACCATTTATACATTTACTGGATTCCAGTGGGTGGATTACCGATTTACCAGAAAATTGTTTAACTTGTTATGATTTTGAAAACAATTCTTCACAAAGTGGTGATTCATTAATAGAAACAACCCAAAGGCACACGGGTAATAAGAATATAACTTCCGAGTCAAAGGTACTCAAAAACAAACCAATAACAAAGCAAATTCTTACAGAATTGTGACTTCCTAAACTTTCTTAAAAACACGGTTTTTTATTTTACTAATCTCTAGCACTAGCCAAAAGCTAATGATTACAGAATTTCCATATATTAAATAAATATACCCACATTGTTACAAATGGTTGTAACCATTAGGCATATGTACTAAAATCATGGTACATACAATAAATACATAATTGCATATAATCTTTTATTAGAATAAATGTTTCAACATTTCAACCATACAAAGAGGACGTCTTGCAGTTTCTTGCGTGTTTCATTTTATATAATACAATCTCTCAGTAATTAATTGTTCATAATGTTGAAGATGCCAGAAAAGTGTAAGCCTGAGTATCAAAGCCTGTACTTCTTTGTTTCAAATATTGTTATATTGTCGATCTGGTTGATATGATCTGTTTGATAGCTTGTTAGGGTTATGATCAAAATAAGAATTTTGTACAATTGGTGAAGGATTTGTATTTTGACCATTTCTTAATGAAATCAAAGAAGGGTCTTGATATGAACTAACCGGCGTTCTATTAACAAGAGGAGCTGTTGATCTAATCACACCCAGAGTTCTAAGAGCGGAAGCTTCAGAAGGTGAAGATTTTGAAATCTCATCTGGCTTTGAGTTTGATTCAATAATAGTCGATATTTTCAAATTGTTATAGGATGGTAATGCTTCTTTAGTTACTGTTAAATTTAATTCACGACTTATTTCCAATTCTAATTCCTTTAATGTCAGTAATGAGTTATCAAAATCTGCTGACATCGAAGGCAAATGTTGATTGTTTTGAAGGTTATTCCGTAAAAGTGTCTGAACAGCTTCTGACACAGTTAATATTGCTTTTGAAATAATCGTACACTTTCTATCTAATCTCTGGAAATACTCTAAGGAATTTATATCTTTCTCATTTTCCTCGTTTGAAGAAGCTGGGGTTAATAGAGTTGGCATTTGGGATGAACCTTGAAGAGGGAGTCTAGGTAATAGATGCTTATTTTGAAGTTTTGGAAGGTTTGCAAATGGTGAAGTAGATGTTTGTGATAACACATTTGGGAATTGATGACTCTCTATATTTTCTGTAGAGGAATTTTCTATTTTAGGCAAAGGATGTGTAATTGATGTATATGACGGTTTGAAATCTTCTTGAAAAGTTTTCAATTCAGGTTTTGAATAATCACGATTAAGGTAACATACACTAATTGTCGATAATCTATTAATTTTTTTACCATTTTTAGTTACAGTTGATGATTTTCTTTGAATTCTATTTAATGTCACAACATCAGAATTTCTATGGAAAAATCCAGAAGGATGGGTGAAATGCCAAGTAGTCGAACCTCTTTTGGGTCTGGAAGGTATATGATACATTGGATTATCATTATTAAAGAATTCTATATCAACGTTATTATTAAGTTCGTTTCCTCTAGTAATAGAAACATTACCATTACTATCATCATTATTTTTAATAGGTAATTTTTGAAAACCATACATATGAAGTTGTCTAACAAAGCTACTGAAGTTTCCATGTTTAAAATATTTCTTAAGGACTTTATCACCAAATTCTTGATTATAAGGAGTAATGACAAAAATCGAATCTTCATCATTAAGCCAATGTATCCATTCTTTATAATCTGGTTGATTCAGCATTGAAAATAGTTGATGAACAAATGTTCTCATAATGAACCAGACAGAAGCCAATCACACTTCTAATATATATATATATATATATCTATGTATAGATGTAAAATATACACTGGCACAGTCAATTGGCAGTCAAAAAGAGACCCCAAATCCAACCTGGAATATACACTCAATTTCAGATTTAGCTAATTTCCAAAAATTTTACAATGATGAAACTCTAATTTGTGAATTATAAACATATTCTAAACACCTAACTCACCGTGTCTATACCATTTCTTTATATATAAATTAGTTATCTATGAGAATTGAAGTATTCAGAAATTCCATTAAAGTAAGTATCTCTGATAACCCAAACCATAATCAAAATTTTTTATAAAAAGTCAACACAGTTTAGTAATTTAATTAAGATTTATCGAAATATAAGGTTAAAACAGAGATATGTCAACTAGTATTACAAATTTAACCCACTTAACAAATTTAAAAGACTCTTATCATTATCATTTCACTTCTAAGTAATTTATATGATGAGCTTACGTTATGCACGATAACGTCACAGTGTAGGTTTAAAATAATACTAATCAGTTACAGAGTAGTCGATTGAGGACGAGGCTTATTTAGACTATTAGGTCTATTACTAGAGCACTAGATAAGATAGTAAAACAAGAAAATAAGAACATAATTGCATACAACAATATACCAGCTTTGTTGGCAGTTAAAAAATTTGCTATTATTGTAGTTATAATTATTTTTATTATTATTATCATTACAATTACTACTACAACAGTTGCTGATATTCCATTTTTGCTTTAAACTCTTCGTTAGGAAGGAATACAATCTAGCTATGAAATTGTTTTAATATACTGAAAATTATATGTTGTATACAGAGTCGAGACCAGGGGCCTAATTAATTACCCAAAAACTGTTTACTACTTTACACAGTTTTTCCAATAGTGCGATATTATAATTATATAATTGACCAGAACAATACATAGAGAGTATTAGGTAATGGTGGATAGAAGAAAAAAAAATAAATATTTCTGCATTGAGAAACGAAACATACCAAGCGACTTGGCTGAAGAGGCTGAAGGAGCAAGGGGATGATGGAGGGGTAGGTGATTAGTAGTATTCGGTAGTCGTTACAGTTTCGAAAGCAGCGTCGTCAACGAACCAAGATATTTTTTTGTCGAATAGCTGAGTTACCAAAGCAGAAGGCAAACTAGTATCCTTCAGATCAAAAATTTTATGCATAATTGGTTGTTTAGAAGCACCTTGAGCAACGAATGCTGTTTCCTTTGTAGCACCAATTACAGGCAAAGTTATTGTAATTCTATCACTTGGTGGTTTTGGAGAATCATGACAGTACATAACTTTTCTTGTCTTTTCGTCTAATAAATATTTATGAGTTTGACCAGGGAATAATGAACAGGTGTGACCGTCTGGACCACAACCTAATAACAATAGATCGAATCCACCTGAAGCTGGCAAAATCGATTCGTATTCTTCTGCAATTTTTTCACACGCTTCAGCATTGGAGAAAACTAGAGATTCGTCTAAAGTAAATACCTTTAGATTTTTCAAATTTTCTGGTGATAAGTTATTTAAAACATGTTTTTTAAAAGCACCGTAATTACTATCAGGATGATTCAATGGTACGATTCTTTCATCACAAAAAAAGACATTCCACTTGTTCCAGTTAACTTTTCCTGCAACTGATTTATCCAAGATCAAACTATCGCGTAAAACTTCAACTAAAGAACCACCACTAATAGCAATGTTAAACCTGTCACTACTAGATAATGCCTTTTCTTGAGCAGCTAAGACGTAAGAACCTAAGTTTCCAGCTAATTGTTCAGAGCTTGCGAATTTGTAGACCTTTGCCATTTTTTCTTTTTATTCTAAAATTATTCTTTTTTTCTTCCTCTTCTTTCAAACCAATTGAAGTTGTAGTTCTAGTTGGGCAACAAGACAACTGAATTCTCTTAGTAGATCAATTCACGATGCTTTATATACAAATATCCACTTTGATATGATCAATCGATGCCATTGAAACGTTTTGCATTAAAAGGGGTTTCGAACATGCAGTGCCCTTATTAGACCAAAAGCCCTTCGCTTGAAGTTCTCTCCTTGACTTGAAGGGGGGGGGAGGGAGACGGTAAGGAAGTATAATTGGCAAACTATTACCGAGTAATCAATTGAAGCTCAATGGGTATTTTTTTTTCTGTTGTTGTTGTTGGCCAGTCGTAAGTTATCCTTTATGGATTTGTTCAATAAGGTAGTGTAGTGAGTAGTCTCTTGGGGGGGGGGTGGTGGGAAGAGAAGACCTGGGCAAAAAAAAGTTTTCTTTAGCCTATTGGTGGATAAAGGGTGCGGTGTACCGATGGTCATATAGGGCTAGCGACGGGGGCAGCAGGAGGGTTTGCAGCGTTGAGTATGTGTGAGGGAGCTGGCGATGTATGTGGTAAACCCTAGGGAGCAGCAGGGCTTCTGGACCAGCACCTCGATATATTGCATAATGGCTAAGGAAATTTGTTAATGATTAATTAAGCTCAATTGGACAAAAGCCAACCAACCAACCAACCAACCA